TCTGTCCATCCTCCTGCCTCACATCAGATCCTGCCACTCTCAGCCACCATTGGTAATAACGGCAGCTAACACCCTGAGCTCTGTTCCAGGTGCTTTGTGTGTGTTAGCTCGCTGGATTCTCTGAGTAGCCTATGAAGTAGGTATTGTCACCGTCCCCGTTTACAGGTGAGCAAACAGGAAATTAAGAGACTCACCCAAAGCCACCCAGCTGACAAGTAGAGGGGCTGGGACTTGGACATAGGTGACCAGAGACCTCTTGCCAACTGCTCCAGCTGCCTGCTGGTAGAGAGAGAGGATCCTGTTTAAAAAGCCCTCCCGCAGGGCTTCCCTGGTGGCGCAGTGGTTGAGAGTCTGCCTGCCGATGCAGGGGACACGGGTTCGTGCCCCGGTCCGGGAAGATCCCACGTGCCGTGGAGCGGCTGGGCCCGTGAGCCATGGCCGCTGAGCCTGCACGTCTGGAGCCTGTGCTCCGCAACGGGAGAGGCCACAGCAGTGAGAGGCCCATGTACCGCAAAAAAAAAAAAAAAAAAAAAAAGCCCTCCCGCAGGGATCCCCAACCGAAGTGTTAGAAAGTTTGTCCTAAATAAACCCAGGTATGCCCAAGTCTCTTCTATTGCTGACAGCGATGGGGGATGGAGGACAGTTGGTGCCTCGACTCTGGGGTGATGGAACCCTCCACACTTGGAGACATAGGTTGTAACCTCTCCAGCTTTTTTCTCTAAGCTAAACAACCCTACTTTCTTTCAGGTTCCCAGTGCAGGGCACAGCACAGGCATCAGGACATAAGAAACCACACAGAGGCGTAGACCCTCTTTAAAACCTCTGAACCTTCCTGCAGAGGTCCGTCCTGCACACACAAAAAAGCAAACAGGCAAGTTTGCTCTGCCCTGGTGCCTTCAGCACGGTGTCTGAGCAAGCTACGGCCAGAGCTCTCAGCCAGCTTCTCACCTGGGAGCACCTCTTCCCAACTCCCAGCAAAGCTCAGGCAGTGCTGACTTGAGCACGGTTCCCCAGACACACTGGGTCCCCACACACATCCAGAGCTTTGCGAACACCCTCCCCTCTCCTTCAATGACCCCAGCCTCCCTCCTATAGCTCTTCTGCCTTCCTGTCCCTTCTACACCCTGTACTCACCTCCACTATGGCCCCTTCTAAATGCTTCCACAAATATTTATTGTGCACATTCTATGTGCCAGATTCTCGTCCTAATGCTGTGGGCATAGCAGGGAAAAAATGAGCAAAATCCCTGCCCATGCTAGTTGGAGGGGGAGCTAGACAATAGACAAGCAAATGCAAAACATATATGATGTCAGATGAGAAAAGAGCTTTAGATAAAAAGTATGTAAGGAGAATAGTCAGTGCTAGGAGGTCTGGTAGCATTGCAGTTTTAGAGATGAGGCAACAGTAAAGGCCTCTCCAAAAAGGTGACAGCGACTCAACACCTGAAGGAAGCAGGGGAATGAGCCACCATGTGCTTGGGCTTGGGATGACATGTTTCAGGCAGCGCAAATGGTAAGTGCAAAGGCCCTGTGGCACATTAGAGAAACAGTTCTTTTGCTATTCAGAAATTCTTTTCTTGCCCATCAGTCTGTTTCCTTTGCTTCTGTGTCTCACACACTCAACACAATGCTACATCTTGGGGAACATGGGAAGGATGCTCAAGGGGACCAATTGCTGAGAGCCTCAGGAAACTGGAGCTCATTCCTGGGGAGCCTTCTGTCCAGGGAAACCACCGGCCGAGACTCATAGGCTGAGCAGGGACTAAGATCCACTCTTGAATCCAGGAAAAGGGTTACAATTACGCCCTTGATCCTTCCGGGTTAGTCCCAAATCCTTCAGGCTACCTTCACCCTGATGGCCGTAGAGTCAGCCACACCCAGGGGATTCTGCAGGGAGAGGATTTGTCAAAAGAGTCAGAAGTCTGTGATTTGAATCCAGCCTGGTCTCTGATTCATTTGTGAGCAGATAACGCTAACCTTGCTCGGTTTCCCTACCTGTGAAATGGGACTGCAGGTCTCGCCCGCCCACCTCACACGGTGCTTCTAGGAAGGACTAGGGTGGTGGTTGTCAAGCACAGCACCCCCCACAGCAGGGATTAGGTAGGGTTATTGCTGCTGCTGTGGGTTGTTTGTTTGTCTTTAATAATTCTATCACCTGTCTCAATGTTGAGCCATCTCTAGACCAAGTCTCCAGTTAACCAGTTCAGCCCTGCTGGATTAACTTTTCATGGCAGGGCGTTTCCAGCACCTAGGAGAAGGGCCCCAGAAACTCAACTCTGTGCTTCTCGAGCGGGAGGGCACCTGCTGGCTTGCATGGAACTCTGAGCATTTGTCACTGTCAGGAAAGCTGTTCTCCTGGGAAAAGTCTTGAAACATGCCCCTTGCTTACGGGGAAGTGAGGGCCATTGTCTGAAAGGGGCTGGTCATTTTTGGGGCGGGGGGGTGGGGCTGGGTGCTGCGTTGGGTCTTTGTTGCTGCGTGCAGGCTTTCTCTAGTTGCGGCGAGTGGGGGCTACTCTTCGTTGCAGTGTGTGGGCTTCTCATTGCGGTGGCTTCTCTTGTTGCAGAGCACGGGCTCTAGGCGCACGGGCTTCAGTAGTTGTGGTGCACGGGCTCCGTAGCTGTGGCGCACGGGCTTAGTTGCTCCGCGGCATGTGGCATCTTCCCAGACCAGGGCTAGAACCCATGTCCCCTGCATTGGCAGGCGGATTCTTAACCACTGCGCCACCAGGGAAGTCCCACGGCTGGTGATTCTAAAGGGACACTTGGGCAATTGGTGGGGCTGAGACCAGCCCCCTGCCAGATTTCCTGTCTGTTACCCTTCCTGGCTCTGGCTAAATTGTTTTCTCGGGACATGAGGCCTAAGCCTCTGAAGACTGGTGCTTTAGTATGAAGGGACCTTGTCTGCATGAGTTAACTGCTGTCCATCAGTTTTCTCATCTGTAAAATAGGACTAATGATAGTTAATTGTAGTAATATCACCTTCCTCATAGGGTTACTTTAAGGATTAATAATATATAAAGTGTTTAGAATACTGCTGACACACAGTAAGGATTAAATAAATATTCCTTTTTTTTTTGTAAGTTTATATGAGTTGCGGGGGCTGTGATGGCTGGGGAAGGAATGGCATTTCCTTGCTATAATCCTGCACTCTGCTCTTTAGCTCCGAAAGGCAGATTTCTCATGATAGACTCATGTCAGCCAAACTCACGAGAGACTGATGTATAGTCCACAATGCCAGGTAATTGTGTGCCTAGAGCTCACTCGTGCTTGGAGTGTGGGGTCTGAGGTGGCCCTCGGGGAGCTGGCGTGACTGAGCTGCCGTGACTTGGGTCCTCCACCTCTGCCCTCCGGGGCACCTACTCAGCAGACAAACCACTGGCTGTGGGCAGGTCGGGGCACACCTTGCTGGAACTGCCTCTGACCCCTCAGTATTTGGAGGGCGGGTTTCTGGTGACCTCTTCCCTCTGGTTGGCACAGCCTTTTCCAGCGTATCTCACATCCATTCACTTCTTTGTCTCCACCGCTGCCCCCCTCCTCCAGGTGTCGGTCCTCTCCTGCCTGGACAGCCGCAAAACCCTGGCTGGGCCTCCCTGCTTCCGCTTGTCCCCAGTCTAGTCTCCAAGAGGCAGCCAGAGTGGTCAGAAGGCATGTCACCCTTGCACGCACCCTCGCCTGCCGTAGGGATGCAGCGCCCTCTGCCTCCCCCCAAAGATATGTCCACCCAGAACCTGTGAACGTGACCTTAGCTGGAAAAAAGATCTTTGCAGATGTAGTTAAGATGCAGGTTAGTGAAGTGTCCTTGTAAGAGAAGAGAAGGGAAGAACACAGAGGGATGAGGACGGAGGCAGAGGTGGGAGGGATACGCCTACCAGCCGAGGAACACCCAGGCTTGCTGGGGACACAAGAGCTGGAAGCGGCAAGGAAGGATTGTCGAGGGAGCACAGCCCTGCCGACACCTCGATTTCAAGCTTCTGGTCTCCAGAACTACGAGGGAATACACATCTGTTGCTTTAGGCCACGCAGTCTGTGCAGTTTATTACGGCAGCCACAGGAAACGAATACAGGGGCTCCCACTACCCTTCAGAGAAAACTCAAGCCAACTGCACAGGCCCGCAGGAGCCGGCCCCGCCCCGACTTCACCTCGCAGCCCTTTCTTCACGATGGCCTTCCCTCCTGGAAAATGCCCAGCTCTTGCTGCCTCGGGGCCATTGCATTTGCTGTTCCCCTTGCCGACATGCTCTTCCCCATTCCTGGCATGTTTGGCTTCTTCTCTATCCTGCGGGCCTCAAGGCCTCAAGAGAGGCCTTTCCAGACCATGCCACCCAAAGCACAGCTGCCCGGGGATTCCGCATTTATTTCCTTCACAGCCTGGCCTTGGAGTATGTCTAAATAATTGATTTGTCGTGTATCTCCCTTGCTCTGACACAATCTCCATCAGAATAAAGACCTGATGTGTCTTGCTGACCCAGGCTCCCCAGCAGCCGGCTCAGTGCCCAGCACTAGTCAGCCCACAGTAAGTTTTTCCTGAATTAATAAATATAGGGCTTTCTATTAATAAGGCTACAGTAAAGTCCTGCTCCTCTTCTTCTTGACCTACAGGGTGATTTTCTATTTTAAAGCAGCTTTTACAGATAAACCTAGTGTTTCAGGGGAGACCCCAGTGTCACCCTGCTAAACCATTCGCCTATGCCTGCCTCTGGGATGTGGCCATTAGAGTTGAAACTAGATACTCCTAGGAGTAGTGAGTTCTCCATCCATGGAGGCATGCAAATTTTTACATGTACTAACTCATTTGATCTTCACCATTCCCGAAGACCCTGTGGGATCTTTAGGGTCCTCCCCATCGGACCCCCCTGCCTTTTCCCCCAGCCTGCTAACTCCCTTTCCCCCTCCCTATTCTGGACAACACTTTGAGCTTTTATTTCAATAAGATGAATCAAAGTCTATCTGAGAAGTCTAAGTGTACATCTGCTTACACATATAGTTTTACAGTACAAGAGTTTATCGGTCCTGAATGTATATTTAGTGACAGGCTTGGCTAATCTTTCATCTAATTACATTCATTAACATTTAAATGTATAATCATTAATATATCTGGGCACAGTGGTCTAAATATTTTATAGAGGTCTTAATTACAGTCGACTTCCAGTCTTGCCATAAAACTCGTGCGCCCTGCCAATCAAAGGGGTGGTATCAGGTAGCTCAGGGGCCCTGGCCAGGGGACAGCAAGAACCTGCCTTTTGCTGGGGAACAGCAGTGGCTGGGGGTCTCCATTTTCTGGCTGCACCGCAGAAGCAAGGCCGACAGTTGCAGAAGACAAGGGAATTGGTTCTTGCGATTTCTCGCTGCCATACCTCTGTTAACTGAAGTCACCATCCTCCTAGAAAAGGGGGAAATCAAAGATACAATAACAAATTAAAAATAATAATTATTGTGGGCTTCCCTGGTGGTGCAGTGGTTGAGAATCTGCCTGCCAATGCAGGGGACACAGGTTCGATCCCAGGTCCAGGAAGGTCCCACATGCCGCGGAGCAACTGAGCCCGTGTGCCACAACTACTGAGCCTGCGCTCTAGGGCCTGTGAGCCACAACTACTGAGCCCACGTGCCACAACTACTGAAGCCCACGCGCCTAGAGCCCATGCTCCGCAACAAGAGAAGCCACCGCGATGAGAAGCCCGAGCACCGCAACGAAGAGCAGCCCCTGCTCGCCACAACTAGAGAAAGCCTGCGCACAGCGACGAAGACCCAACACAGCCAAAAATAAATAAATAAAATAAATAAATTTATAAAATAATAATAATTATTATTATTGCCACTGAGACTTTAGGAGGTCGATAAAAAACAACCCTTTCTTCCTCTGCCAAATTATGAAGCAGTCTCAGAGAGTTTCCTAGGCACCGGTGAAGATCAGAAGGTGAGTTTTGTGGCTGTGAAAGCTGACCTGGGAGTGGGGCTCAGATCCGAGGCCTGGCAGCTGGTTAACCCTCTGTGCCAGAAGTAGACAGACGTACCTGCCCAGACGGCACAGGTGGGCCCCTGCAGCCCCCAGGCAAGTTGTTCCCTCATAGGAACAGCCGTCTTCACACTTCTGAAGCCCTCAGTGGTTTATAAAGCTCATTCAGGCACGGCTCAGTCTATGAGGTTGGCAGGTTTCATTGTACCCATCCCACAGAGGAGAACACTGAGTCTCTGAGAGGTCCCGTGGCTTCCCAAAGGCAACGGCCAGTGGGAGGCAGAGCAACACCTGAATCCTTGATGTCCTGCTGTGACCCCCACCTGGACCCCTGTTTTCCCAGGAGCTGTCCCAGCTCCCTGCCCCCACCCTCTGAGGTGACCCAGCAGGTCCCCCAGCAAGGCCTGGGCCCTGGAGGGAATTGGGATCTTGTGAGATGGGGCCACCAGACACCCCTCCTCCCCACCCCCAAGGCCGGCATCCACCCCAGCCATGCTACACCTGCCACTGCCCACCTGGACAAAGCAGGAGCTCAGAGCCAGAGCACCTGGGCTGGATCCTGCATCCACCACTTACCTGCCAGCTGGGTCAGCCTAACCTAACTTGCCTCACTTTCCTGGTTTGTACGCTGTGGATCATGATGGTAACTACCTCACAGGATTGTCGCAGAGAAAATTTAGTGAGACTTACAAGATGTTTTAACCCAACCCATAAAGAACACTCAGTAAATGGTAACTGCTGCTACACGGTCATCTGCCTCCCCCCTCCCCCTGCCCCTCCCCCGCTCCTCCCCATCCCCATCCCCCACCCACTGCCCCCCTCCCCCTCCTCTTCAGGGCTGGGGAACCCCACGCTGACCTTCATCCCTCAAGCTCTGTCTGTGCCCCTTCATGGAAGTCTTGCCCCTTAACTCTCACCACAGTCGCACACAGAAGGTATCATCTTTGCCCGTGCGGGGAAGGAGCTGGACTTTGAATCCAGGACCAACCCCAAGTTCATGTTCCTTCCCGAGCCCCGGGAGTCCTGCAGGATTCACGTAGGGCACACCTTGTCCATACCTGGAGCTGCCCTTCTTCACTACCAACTCACGGGGTGCCCCCAATGGCATGAGGGCCGCCTCCCCCCGGATGATAAGAACTGGTATTTACTGCACTGCCCCCTACACTCGACACCACTCTGGGCACGTTGCATGTACAAAGCCAGTCCTGTGAGGTGGAGGCTGTTTTTAAAGCTTTTTATTAAACTATGACATATCTGCAGAAGAGTGCAAGTGAATTCACAGCTTGGTGAATCGAAACAGACTGAACACCTCTGCCTCACCAGCCCCCGGATCAAGAAGTAGAACATCATTAGCTTCCTGAAAGCTCTCCGGGGTACCCTTCCTGTTGCCGTCCCCTCCATGGAGAGCCCCTTCCTGCCTTCCCAGCACGTGGATTAATCCTGCCCTTTTCACGTGCCGTAAAGGGAGTGATACGGAATATACGCTTTTGTGTCTGGCCTCATTGGCTCAGCATTTCTTCTCTGAGGTTCATTCATGCTGTGTGTGTTGTGATTCGCTCGTTCTCCTTCGATGGAGTCGTGCTCCGGTGATGGGACCACGATGGGTAGAGCCCTTCTGCTCAGCGTTGCCCAGGCAGTTTCCGGCCTCGAGCTTTTACAGACAGTGTAACTTTTCCATGCAGGAACCTTGGTGAACATGGATGCGTGTTTGTTGGGCATGGGCTGCGGTAGGAACTATTTATCCCTCCTTTACAGTGTGAAAATCTGGGATCTATGACTTGCACCAGGTCACACCTCTAGTGAGTGGCCAAGCTGGCTTTGAACCCAGACAGTCTAGCTCCGGCGCCTGCTCTCTGTGGTCGTTCTCCTTCTGAACTTGCCTGGGAAGAGGCTGATCGTTGCTACCAGTTTGCCGCCTGCATCTAACCTTGAACAGCCCTGCTGGGTCTCTGCTGGAGAGAAGGCACGATGAGACCAGTCCCCAAACCACTGGGTGCCCAGGGCAGCTTCCTGAAGGTTCTAGAGGGCCTGCTAGACCATCTTGAGAGTATGACACCAAAGCCCAGAGAGGGTGTGTGAGCTCCCAAGGCCACACAGCACACTGGCTTGCACCCCGGTGTCCTGTCTCCCTGTCCCCTGGGCATTCCCTGCCTCCTCTCAGGGCCTAACCAGCGCAATCGTCTTGCCTGAGAATGACCTCACGCACCGACATGAGCCTTGAAAAATAGTCCTCATTGTGTGGGGCATGAGGCCTGTGGGCCAATGCTGCGTTTCCAGAAATCTCCGCCCCCTGAGTCTAGGGAATGTCACAGTTCCGGGCCCATCCCCTGCCACTATTTTTAGTGGTGATTTGGAGGAAGGAGGACTTTCCTGGATTTGCCTTCAGAGGCTGGAAAACAAACACCTCCCCCTCCTCACCCCCGGCCTCCCAGTTCCCGTGGCAGGAAGTGGGGGCCTGGATTCCTGGACCTGCCACTTACCCTGCAGGCTTCTGGATGAGCTCTGAGGTCTTCAGAGCTGACGGGTGGGTGGCAGCAACAGTGTGCTCCTGCCCGCACCTAGGACCATGAACAGCCTGAAAAGGGCTCCCATGCCCCCCAGTAGCACCTTTTTTTTTGCTGTGTTGGGCCTTCGTTGCTGTGTGCGGGCTTTCTCTAGTTGCGGCGAGCGGGGGCTGCTCTTCATGCGGTGCACGGGCTTCTCGTTGCAGTGGCTTCTCTTGTGGAGCACGGGCTCTAGGCGCACAGGCTTCAGTAGTTGCAGCATGTGGGTTCAGTAGTTGTGGCTCGTGGGCTCTAGAGCGCAGGCTCAGTAGTTGTGGCGCACGGGCTTAGTTGCTCCGCGGCATGTGGGATCTACCCGGACCAGGGCTCAAACACGTGTCCCTTGCATTGGCAGGCGGATTCTTAACCACTGCACCACCAGGGAAGTCCTTTTTTTTTTTTAATATTTATTTATTTATTTGGTTGTGCCAGGTCTTAGCTGCAGCAGGCGGGCTCCTTAATTGCAGCATGTGGTCTCCTTAGCTGTGGCAGACGGGTTCCTTAGTTGTGGCATATGAATTCTTAGTTGTGGCATGTATGTGGGATCTAGTTCCCTGACCAGGTATCGAACCCGAGCCCCCTGCGTTGGGAGCGTGGTGTCTTATCCACTGTGCCACCAGGGAAGTCACCAGCACCTCTTATTATACTCTCTCTGCAGGTGTCTGATCCCCTCCTGGGGGTTGGCCTTACCCTCCCATCTAAAGTTTTTCCCAGGGGGAATTCCCTGGCAGTCCAGTGGTTAGGAGTCTGCGCTTCCATTGCAAGGAGCCTTGGGTTCGATCCCTGGTCAGGGAACTAAGATCCCGCAAGCCGTGTGGCATGGCAAAAAAATAAAGCTTTTCCCATTGGGAGCCCCTGGGCCTCTGTGCTTGAGGTGGACACTCTCCAGGTGGCTAATAGTGGGCACGCATCCCTCCTCCCATCACCCACCTGCCCGGGCTCCAAGACAGCGTTCCCCCCAGTGCTCTTGCGTCCTCTGCTCAAACTCCCACAACAGGGTGCCTCTTCCCTCCCAGGACCGCCCGGTCCCGTCTGAGATGGCTCTGACTGTTAGACTGTCACCTAGAATGGTGCTAAAGCACAGGCGAGCAGTCGCCCTCAGATGCAGCTAGAGCTCTTGCTTTCCTTTAGTGCTTACCACGGTAGAACGAGGTAGAAACCGTTATCCTACTTTAAACATGAGGAAAAAAGGCACCTATGGGTTAGGGAACTCATCCAAGGTCACGTAGCTGGTGAATGGTGGAGCTGGGCTTCGACCCCAGGTCTCTGTACAGAGCCTGGTTCCTCAGCTGTGCCTGGACGCTGATCTCTCCCGTGTTACTTCTTCTATGGACACCTGCTCAGATTAGCAGTCCAGCCCCCATGCAAGGCCGAGAGGTGTGGTTGGGTAGTATGATTAATTGCCAGTATTGAAAAGTAAGGAGATATTTAAAACGTAAAAATTGTGATAATCTAGAGTATGGAATTTTCTAGAAGAGACAGCAGGTAGGGCAATGCTGGGCCCCATTCAGTCATGGAACAGCTGCCGCTCCAGGCTGGGTGTGCATTCTAGGTCCCCGTCTGCTCTTCCTTTCTTACCGATGGTCGCTATCAGGGCCTGTGGCAGTTGCGTGTTCCACCCTTGGTTATAGCGGTCCTCTCTTGAGCCTTTAAGCTGGAGAATCAGGGAAGGGAGGGGCAGCTTGAGAATTTGGCAATTATGAGCACACCCCCTTCCCCACCCTGCTCAAGCCCCCAAGTTATCTCTCCCCCACTTTCTTCACCTGAACAGACCCGTACCTAGTGCTGGCTCCTGGAAATACTGTCGGATGAGACCCAGGACCTGCCTTCGAGCAGCTTCTAGGCTAGTCTGGGAGGTGGGAAGGCCCTGAGCTGTTGGTCTGGTTTCCAGGCTGCTGGTGTACCTTCCTATGGGGTGGGCAGGGCTCCCTGCAGCAAGTAGAGGCGTGAGCTGTGGGCTTTGGAAACCCAGAAAGAAGCTGCGCTGAATCCTGAAAAGGGGAGGAGGGCGGGCATCCCTCAACAGAAAGGCAGGGATGCTTAAACGTCACTTCCCCTCAATAAACCCAGAATCTGTAGTGTTAGATGGTGGTGAGTTCAAAGCAGAAAAAAACAGGGAACGGAGTGAGGAGGGTGTCCAGGGAAGGCTTTGCTGAGAAACTGACATTTGAGTCAAGACCTGGAGGAGGCAGGAATGGGCCACAGGCATAGGGGGCGGAGCGACAAGGATGCTCCAGGTGGGGAACAGCCAGCGCAGAGATGCCGAGGGACAGGCAACGTACATGAAGCAGGAACAGCGAGGAGCAGTGGGGCAGGGGTGGCTGGGGAGATCACAGAGATACAGGTGGGGGTGGGGGGATGACAGGTCACGTGGCCCTGATGGGCCATTCTAAGGACTGTGCTCGCCCTTGAGTGAGACGGGCCATAGGGGAGGAGCAGAGAAGTGACATGATCTGACTTGTATGTTAAGGGGACACTCCCTGCTGAGTTGACGTAGACTAAAGGGCTGGGAGACCAGTTAGGAGGCCACTGCACGACACAGACACGCGATGGTGGTGACACGGACCAGGGTGGGGACGGAGGAGTGGCGAGAAGTAGCCAGATTCTGGTAAGATGTTACAGGCAGAGCTGACGTGGCTTGCTGATGACTTGGGTGTGGGGCGTGAGAGAAACAGAACCAAGGAAGATTCTGGGGCTTGGGTCCAGAGGAGCGGGAAGGCTGAGGTCCCCATGAGCTGAGTTTGGGGAGACAGAGAGGAGCGGGTTGTCAGGGGGCTGCTCAGGGACTCACTCTTGGACGTGTGAGGTTGGAGATGCTGTTAGACACCTGGCGTGGGAGGCTCTTGGCTCTGAGGGTGGAGTTTGGGGCGAGGTCCAGGCCGGGAAGCATCAGCATATGGGTGGATTTAAAGCTGGGAAGCTGGATGAGCCCAGCCAGGAAACCGTGGTACAGGAGGGCCGAGCCCGCTGATGCCTGGAGGTCAGAGGGAGGGGAGGGGAGCCAAGAGACAGCGACACAGCAGCCAGAGACGGGGGAAGAAGCCGGGAAAGAGGGGCTGGGAGGATGCAGAGAAGCATCCCCCACGCCAAGGAGCGCACAGGCGAGGACGGTGGGGCTCGTGGCTTGGAGGTTATCAGTGACCTGGAGATGAGCACGTGTCAGAGAGGACGGCAGGAGGGGAATGGACGCACGGGGGCCACAGTCTTTCCAAACTTCTTTGCTCCAAAAGGAAGAAGAGAAGTGGAATGAGAGCTGGAGGGGAAGAGGGGTCACATGCAGTTTTTCTGTTAAAGATGTGAGAGAGAATTGCATGTTCATGTGATGTTGGGAGAAATCCAGTGCAAGGCACGGTCCAAGAACCCTCACGTCTGAGTGGGCCCTTGTCCTGAAGGGGGACCTGGTCTCAAAGCCTCCTGCCTAGCCAAACATGGCAGCCTCGCCGGCTCAGGGGGCCCCCAGGTTGGGCAGAGGGAGCCGAGCAGGAGGGTGGCCTCTCCGAGGCAAAGGGAAGGCACAGCCGTGACCAGGCTGATGGCAGGGTAGCCCCATGGGAGAAGCAGACACCTCGCTCCCGTGCAAAGCACAGTGTCTGGGGTCTGTCCCCAGCCCTGAGCTCCTTAAAATTCTGCAGGTGCCCTGGGTCAGCAGGGAAGCTTTGGTCCACTTGAGTCTCCTTGTGTCCTGCTGGGACATGGCAGGAACAACGTGAAGTGGCCGTGGACACGGTTCACAGAGCCCTGGGTAGTTTGGCAAGAACTGCAGCCATGTTGCGGTCAGCCCTGAGAGCATCGAGGCTCGGGGTCCTATCAGGGGCCACAGGGAAATTAGCCTGCCATGTCCCACCCCGGAAGGCAAGGAGAGACAGAATAAAGGGAAGTAGAACCTTCTCTGCCCCCAGGACCCCGGAAATATTGGATGCTTCTCAGTGATGGCTGTGGACCAGGTCCCCACTCCTTCCCAGGCTGTCTACTTTGTTCAGTCGTTCGTTTGAGAGTCAACCCACTGGTATTTACTGAGCAATTACTATGTGCCAGACACTGTTCTAGATGCTGGGGATACAGTGGTGAACAAGGCAGGCCAGGTCCCTGCTCCCAAGGAGCTTATATTGCTCTTTGGGGTGGACATAAAAATATGTAAGCAAACTCAGTAATCCTTCATCTACCTTTAACCCGATTGAGGGAAACATCTGCTCTCTCACCTTTAAGCTTGCAGGTTGGAGCTTGTCTACCACCATCTCATTGATGTGAATGGACTGGTTTTCTACCAGTTGAGAGAATTGCTTCTTTCTCTTTTGGTTAAACGGAGTTGACCTTGGTTCCGTGGAATGCAGTGGTAATTGGCACAGCATTGACCCAGAAGAGGCTCACCAAATCATTCTCAAACATGCCAACTCTGATCAGTCAGTGATGGCATCTGCCTCACCGTCTGAGGCAGACCTGGCAAATCTGCGTCTCCCTCCCGTCGTCCCATGGCAGACATCCCCAATCAACCCAGGTTCCTATAGAGCCTGGTTGATTAGTCATGTCTGCATGGACACAGGATTGGAAAATGAGAACCTGTATTCCAGATAGTTTCCTTTCCTGCCCTAGGCAGGAAGTTGGAAAGGTCACACTGCCTAACTTTTTAGCCTGCACTTGGAGAGAGGGGCTATGGGGGATTATGGAAAGATCGTGGGCCTGAACGTTGAAGTACTGGGGTCAGGTGCTGGACCTGCCTCTCATTGGCCATGTGAGCTGGTCAACCGCCTCACCTGGCAATGAGAAGAAAAGGGGGGTTTCCATTTGTGAGGAACAGAGCTGCCCTGGGTCAAACCGCCCGGCCAAGCCCACATCTGACCTGGCTCAGTGGGTACAGTTTTCTCAGTCACCACCAGTGGCTGCCATTTACCCAAGCGAGTGGTTGGCTTTCCTTTGCTACGTAAGCACTACCTGATGGGGCAAGTCTGCTTAACCTTTGTAAAGTAGGTTGAACCTTGACCTGTTCTGAACTCACCTTACTCAGCCCTCAAACAGGAAAAAGCAAGATAAACTAGGCTATACCCATCCCAGGGCCATAAGTCTGGGATCTTTTACTTGCTTCCCTGGGCTGCGGCCTCCTTCTCCCTGCCCTGGCTTCTTCCTTTGGTCCTTTTCTCAGAATGCAGCCTGTCAGCCAAGTCAACCTGTATCTTCTGAGACTTTTGGGGGCCTGAGTGCAGGCATAGGAGCTGAATGACAGGAGACGATGCTAACATTCAATGAGCACCTGCTAACATTCAGTGAGCACCTGCTGTTGGGTAATGTCACATAGAGCCTTAAAGGTAGAGAATATCATCCTCAGCTTAACAGCTCAGGAAGCTTTTGCTCAGAGGAGTGACCTGCAAATAAGACCCTCCAGGTTGGACGGGGTAAAGGCCAGACTGGAATCCAGGGCTCTGTGAATCTGGAGCTGTGTCTTTCTGGGTTCTCTTCTCCCCAGTGCTCACTCAAGATATGGCAGTCTGTTCTGTATAGGGCAGAAATGATTATACTTTCATCCTCCCTTCTAGAGATAATTAAATTTTGATAGGCAGACCCCAAAGCCGATGCTTTTAACCCAACTGTGTTGGCTTAAGGATCAGGAGACCTGGGCTTATTCACCATGTGATATTTGATACTCTTTCCCTCTCTGGGCCTCAGTTTCCCCATCAAAGGGAAGTTGAGCTGGAAGAACATTTTGGTGGGTGTGTATTCAGAGTGGTTTACCAAGCCCTTCTGGCTCCCACCTACCCACCCCTCCTTTCCCAGAATCTATAGATGCTGATCAGGAATGTTGAGTGGAAAAGAAAGGGGGGCCCCCTGCTGGTGGCATCTGGGATTGTCATACACAGGCTGAGGTCTGCCTGACCCTGTTGGCCACCCCTCCCCAAAACTGACCCAGTGTTTGTCAGGGGTCCACCAGGCTGGAATTTTCACAAGGGCTCTTGGCCGTGGACCATCCAGAAGCAGGCCAGCAGTCTTCTGAGCTCAGACTAATGGGAAATCTGACCTCATGGAATGAGACCATGCCTTGGGCTGGCTGAGGATCCTGTAAGCGGGAGGGGGTGGCTGGTGGAGGATTCCTTAAGAGCTGCTGACGCACACACGCACGCATACACACCCTCCTTCCAGCAGTCATGGAGCAGTCATGGGATGCGTATAAGAATGTCAAACCGCCTTTAATGGAAACCTCCCCGCGTGGGACCGTAAGACAGCTGCAGAAACAGTATCTTGTAGCACAAGTAACTGGTGTGAATATTTGGATCGTCCACTGGTTTTATGGATCGATGAAGGTTCTGTGTTCACAGCGATGTGCTTTCACAGTAGGGGTGATGGAGGAGCGTGAGTGGTTCAAGGTCAGACGCCAAGGATGCAAATCCAGGGTCTGCGCGGGTCTTGGTGTGTCAGTTAACCCTTTGAGCCTCAGTTCCGTCCTCCATAAGGCAGGTGCAGCCCTACCCCCAGCACAAAGCCCCGAGGAGAAGATGAGGCCAACCGGGCTGTGCAGATTTGTTGGGGGCTGGCAGTTTGAGAGCCAGCAAAGCTGTGGGACAGGAGGGTGTTGGGGCCAGGTGGGTACTGCCACTCACTGCCTGGCCATGTTCCTTAATCTCCCTGGATGCCCACTTCCTCATCTATAATGTGGACTGACTTCAAAAGGTAGTTGTGAGAATTAAGTGACAAAAACCCATCGGGGGCTGAGAGCCGTGCCTGGCCCATGGGAATTGTTTTAATATCTAAGGAATTGAGGTGCGGGGAGGTTACGTGATTCGCTCGAGGTCTCAGGGCCAGGGAATTCCCTCATCCGGTGGTTAGGACTCTGAGCCAGGGACAGAACCCAGATCCTCTGACCCCAGACCAGTGCCCGTCCGCCCTGCTGTGTGGTGTTGGCCAAGGCCATGGACATGTCTGTGGGGGACAGTGGTCAAGGAGAAATCGTCTAGGACCTCAGAAGTTAAAGGAAGCTCACAGAGTCCAGCACGCCCATCCTGGGGGAAAACCGAGGCTGGGAGAGGGGAAAGCTGACAGCCTGGCCCCCCCCCTGCCTGGCAAGGTTCTCACTGCAGGCGCTGCCCCGGTGCAGAAGGAGAGACCCCCCTCGTGCTCAGCGTTCCCTGTAAAATCCGTTACTCTCCAGGCCCATGACCCCCAGAAGCTCAAAAGCCAAGAATTACCCTGCGCTGTTCTCTTTGCCTGTCAGCTGTGGCCTCCCGTCACCTGGGCACTGGAGGAGGGGGTCTGCTTTGCCCAAGGCTGGAGTCAAGGGACCTTTCTTCTCTCTCTGGTCCCACCTGCCAAGAGTCTCATTTGCAGAAGTTAAACTGGGGCTGACACTGCTCCACCCTGCCTCGCATCTGGGTTAGGGGCTATGGCATCCCAAGCCAGGGAAAGAGGAGGGCGTCTGCTGTGGAAAGGCAGACCTCAGAAGCTTGGGAAGAGTGATGGCCCCAGAGAAGCACCATCGTCTTGGGGTCATGGTTGGGGCCCTGGTTCCACCCTCCAGCTCATGCAAACATCCAGCCTCCTTGAGTTAGAAAAATCAGTCCCTCCTTGCACACGCTCCCTCTCACCCCCAGAGTCCCCACATTCCCAGGAGCCAGGCTGGTCTCCTGCAGGGTCTACTGGGCATGACATCACCTGTCACCATGGCAGTGGTTCTGGTGGCCTAGCTGCTGGCGTGGGACACACCTGGGTGAAGCTGGGTGGCCGGGAAGGAGAACAGAGCGCTGGGGAGCTTGGGGCCGAGGCAGGAGGAGGCTGGTCATAGAGAGAGACCGTCACGCTCGTGGACCATCACCTCGTCTTGCATTAAGGATGTTTGGAGATCGTCAAACAGGGTTTTGAAGGAGAAATAAAAGCATGCTTATGACAAAGGAAGGACGCATTCCACTGTGTAACTTTCATAGCTGTGTGTCTGTAGTTTAAATTATTTCTTGGGGAGTCTGTCAGGCTAAGTGCCTTGTTTCCCTAAAGAGTTACAATACCTGTTCCCCCCTTCAGGGGACCCCCCATCTGTTGGGGATACTTGGGGATGTTCAGGCTCGATGGGCACACACGCCCACTTTCCCACCTCAGGCCTGTGGGGCGTCCCCAGGTGCTCGCAGGTCCTCCACGTGAGTTTCCTGGGTGGGTTGTGGACATTTGTGCTTCTGAAAAGCTGGGCAGACGGCACAGAAGCTTTTTGGTTCACGCCATGGTTCCAGAGGCACCTTGTCTTCGTTGTTAAATGACCTTCACCTGGCATCATGTCGCGAGATTCAGCTTTCGTGTTTTCTCAGTCCGCAGCCTGGCAGGGTCCAGCCCAGAGTCAGGCCTGGAATTCCGGCCACGGTGACCTAAGCTGTTGCCCAGCCAAGCTGGCCATGAAGGGGACAAGTCCAGCTGCAGCAGCCAGGAAGCGCAAAGCTGGAATTTAAAGGGCCCCCCAAGACCTGCGGTCCCCACTGCAGGGTTCTCCCCAGGGCTCCTTGCACGTGACGACACTGCCCCAGCTCACCTTCCTCTACCCTGTTCTACAGGGCGGTGCTGGGTGTAGGTAGGGGGTGAAGATGCAGCTTATGTCGGGCACTGAGCCAGAGCCCAGGGTCCTCGGTCCTTATGCCATACTTTTTCATATCAGAGGCTGAGTTTGCAGGTTCACTGTCCAGGGCAAGATGGGGTGGCACCGCCATTGCCTGCCCCCTATCACTGCCCTCAGCTAGCCGTGGGGCTGGGACCCTCTGGGGTTTGGGAGCTTCTCTGTAGTGGCAGCATAATGTAGGGTCAAGTGTTTGGGCCTTGGAGTCAGATGTGGCTCTGTGACTCTGGGCAAATTACTTAACCACTCTGTGCCTTCTCAGGCTGGAAGCTTCCAGAGCCAAGGAGTTGCTTTGCCTCCTCCCCACCGCCTCCACAGTTCCTTCCTCAGTGTTCTCTCCACAGAGGGGGGAGGGGATGGAGTTCTGGGGACCCTGGGGAAGGCAGTGGGACCCGCCCTGCACAAGCCCAGGCTTGCCCGTCTCCACTCCCTTCTGTACAGAGCCAGTGCCGTGAGGAGAGTCCGGAGGGAGCAAAAGCCACACTGCTGCCAGGAGGCTGTGTGGAACACGGGGCACCATGTCTGTGTGTCTGTGTCTGTATGTCTGTGTGACAGCTTTATTGAGATACAATTCACACAGCATACAACTCACCCATTTACCGTACGTGATTCAATAGTTTTTATTATATTCAGAGATGTACATCAATATTAGCATATTTTCATCATGCCCTTTGGCCACACCTCCATATCTCCGGCCCCCGGCCCAAGGCAACCACTAGTCTAATTTCTGTCTCCATAGGTTTCCCTATTCTAGACACTTCATTTGAATGGAATTATACGGCACGTGGCCGTTTGTGACTGCCTTCTTTCACATAGCATAATATTTTCATCCCATTGTAGCATGCATCATTACTTCTTTTTATTGTCAAATAATATACCGTTATATGGATGTACTACATTTTTAAACATTCATTCATCAGTTGATGGACGTGTGGTTGTTTCAGCATTACAGCTGTTATAAACATATGTACACACGTTCCTGTGTGGACATACGTTTTCAGTTCTCTTAGATATACACCTAGGAGTGGAACTGCTGTATCATAGGGGAAGTTTATGATTCATCACTTGAGGAACTGTCAGCGGTTTTCCACAGAGGCTGTACCATTTTCCATTCCCACCAACAGTGTATGAAGGTTCCAGTTTCTCCGTATCCTCGCTAACACTTGTTACTGTCTTCTTTTTATATTTTAGCCATTCTAGTGAGTATGAAGTAGTATTTCATCGTGGTGTTGATTTGTGTTTCCCTGATGACTAATTATGTAAACCACCTTTTCAAGTGCTTATTGGCTATTTCTTGGAGAAATGTCTGTTCAGATCTTCTGCCCATTTTTTTAATTGGGTTATTTGTCTTTTTATTATTGAATTGTAAGAATTCTTTATATATTCCAGATATAAGCCCCTTATCGGATATATGGTTCACAAATCTGTTCTCCCATTCCTTGCACTGTTTACTTTCTTGATGGTGTCCTTTGAAGCACAAAAGTCTTTAATTTTGATGAAGTCCAGTGTATCTGTTTTTTCTCCTGTTACTCATACTTTTGGTGTCATAACTTGCTGTGTGTTTTTAATCAAACACTTTTCCCTGTGAAGGAGATGGAGCAGACAGTGGACTGTTGGGCTGGGCTGAGTTCTGTTGGGCTCAGACTGGGCCCTGGGATTTCATTTCAGCAGGAAGTAAAGGATCCCATCAGCTTCCTGCGCCGTGGTTAGCGATGGGGGAGCAGGGGGGTCACAAGCTCACCAGGCCTCCAGCTCTTTCCTTCTGCGGACCCAGGCAGTTCAGGGCAGGGACAGACATTCAGTCAAGAACTTGCTCCCCTGGCTGGGTCAGTAAAGCTGAGAAATGAGAATTGGGACTCTAGGGATAGGAGGGCCTAGGTTTGAATCTGGGGAATGCCACTGAGTAACATAGGAGCCTGGGAGAGAAACTTCCTCTTTCTGAACCCTGTTTCCTCGTCTGTTCATAAAAGGGAAGGAGACGGGGTCCCTTCTCAGCGTTCGGGGTGACAGGCAGCTAGGATCTCGGGAACTAACTAACTCGGTTCTCTGTCCCCCAGCCATGAAAGCCGACCGAAAGCGCCTAAAGGGTGAAAAGACGGACCTGGTGAGCCAGATGCAGCAGCTGTATGCCACGCTGGAGAGCCGCGAGGAGCAGCTGCGCGACTTCATCCGCAACTACGAGCAGCACCGCAAGGTCAGCACGCAGCCCCCGCCCCTCCCCCTCCCCCAGCCACCAGCCCCCTCATTACTGCCCCTCCCCCACCCGGCACAGGGTCTGGCCTTGAATCTCAAAACACAGATGCACTGCTCGTGTCCCCTTATGCTCACTTGGGGAGGCCCCTTGTCAGGCCCAGGTCTGGGCGCTGAGATGAACAGGCACAGCCCCTAGTTATGGCTCCATGTCTCCTGGGCAAACCAGCCTGGACAGGAAAGCGCAGTCAGTGACAGTGTGCGTTCTGGATTCCGGCTAGCCTGGGTTCAGATCCCGGTTCCCACGTGTGTGCCTTTGGGCATCTCCCTTAACCTCTCAGAGCCTCAGTTTCCTCATCTGCAAAACAGCGATCATGGTGCAGACCTTGCAGAGCTGTGATGAGGACCGTATGAGATGATGGATATAGGGCATTCAGCATAGCGCCTAGTGCATGCTAAGTGCTCAGTGACTGTCAGCTCTGTGTCTTACTAATAGTACCATAATGAGAGTGTGAAGAAAGGGCTGGGGAGAACAATGAGACAGCAGGAAATTCTGCCTCCTGGGAGAGAGTCCTGGAAGGCTTCACAGAGGTGGTGACATATAGGTTGGGCTCTGTGGCGTGAGTAGGAGTTTCTGGTCAGATGACCAAGGACTTTGGTTCAGTAAATATCTGTCTGGTATATGTGCTGTGGTCATGCTGAAGAGGGTCCCAAAACTTAAAGAAAAAAGAGTCAGTCCCCACAACGAAGCAGGCCTTATAAGCTACTGTGTCTGCAGGGAGAGAGTTGTAACCTCTGGTGAGCGGGGCGGAAAGACTGTTGAAAACTGCCCTTCAAGTACATCATACCACATGACAACAGCTATGACCAAGGTTTGCATGTACTCCGTGGGGAAAACGGAGGTGGGAAGCTCGTTAAGTTTCCTCGGCCGTGGGAGGTTTGAGTGGTTCTCCCAGTGGCTGGTGGCCTGGTTGCATGAGTGCATTCACGCGTGTTCCCTCTGAGCTAGACTGTCAGAGGTGGCACTTGAATTTAAAAGCTTCAGCCCCATGGCCCACTTTGGTGTTTACCAGTGACCTGCCCTCTCACCTCCCAAGTATACAGATCCCTTCCTCTCCAGGATGTAAACAGCCCCGGGGGAGCTCCCTGGGCCAGGCACCCACAGCCTCTGCCTGGTCTGGAGCTCTTGGTGCCCTGGGTGCCAGCCCTGAGCAGCAGGGCCCCAGCTTCCCCTGCCTGTCCTTCCACAGTAGGTGAGCTGGGTCCCTAGAAGTTGGCCTCCCCGGGCCTGTCACTTGCAGACAGAGTGTGGCATTAAGTCAACAACCTGTGGAAGCAGAGAGGAGGAAAGGGAACCCCCGGCTCCCTGCTTTCTTGGTCCTCTTCTGGGTCGCAGACTTCCTGCCATGTCCTCACTTGGCAGAAGGGACAAGGGAGCTCTCTGGGGTCTCTTATAAGGGCATCAATCCCATTCACGAGGGCTCCACCCTCATGACCTAAGCACCTCCCAGAGGCCCCATCTTCCAATGTCATCACATTAGGTGTTAGGATTTCAACATATGAATTTTGGCAGGACACAAACATTCAGACTATAGCACCACCTGCCTCTCTCTTGGTCCACCTCCAACCTTTCTCCTTCTCCAGCTGGAGGGCCCGTAGCAGGTCCCAGGAGCCTGGTCCTTCTTCAGCAGGTGAGGCAGGGAGAACCTTTACTTGAGTGGCCCCATGCCCATCATTAGGGAGACATGTTTGTTTGAGGGGAGGGGACACAGGGCAGGGGCCAGACAACCAGCCCACAGCCATACCTGCTTTTGATGATTTGCTGGCCCCAGGCGCGAGGGGCACCGGGCTGACCTTGTCCTTGACACTGCTCGTCCTCAGATCATCAGCTTCCTTGGTGTTTTAGGGCTCTTCAGAGAAGTAATATATATATATTAAGATTTATTAGAAGGAATTGGCCTACATGATTGTGGAGGCTGACAAGTCCTGTGATCTGCCTTCTACAAGCTAGAGAGCCAGTGGTGTCATCGAGTTTGAGTTAAAGGCCAGAGAGCCGGAGAGCCGACTTGTAAGTTCCATCCAAGGGCAGAAGACCCATGTCCCAGCTTAACTCTCAGGTAGAAAGCAACTTCTCCCTTCCTCCACTTTCCATTCGGGCTCTCAACGGATCGGATGATGCCCACTCCCCCAGCCCCCGCCGCTGGGGAAGGCGAGCTACTGAGTCTACCAGTTCAAACGTTAATCTCATCCAAAAACCCGCACAGACACACCCAGAAATGATGTTTGGCCAAAAAGCTGGACACCCCATGGTCTGGTGAAGTTGACGCATAAAAGTAACCATCACGGGCTTCCCTGGTGGCGCAGTGGTTGAGAGTCCGCCTGCCGATGCAGGGGACGCGGGTTCGTGCCCCGGTCCGGGAAGATCCCACATGCCGCGGAGCCGCTGGGCCCGTGAGCCATGGCCGCTGGGTCTGCGCGTCCTGAGCCTGTGCTCCGCAACGGGAGAGGCCACAATGGAGGGGGGACCGCGTACGTCAAAAAAAAGTAACCGTCACACTTGGCCTGGGAGGCAGGGTGGTACAGTGGTTAAGACCAGACAGTGGGTTAGACTCTCACCTCTGCCACTCTCTAGCCATGTGGCCTCATCCCTAAAACCAGGATAATGATCGCAACTACTCAGAGCCCAGCCTTGTCAGCACTAAAGTTTCTGGTACACAGAAAGCATGCCAGGGGAAAAATGCTTGTCGTTGTTGTTGTTATTATTATTATTATTATTGCCTCTGGGGGATTCAGAGTCAGGCATTTGATCATGGAAATTCCACAGTGGGTTTCAGGGCCCTTCTGTAGGTCTCTCATCTATCTACCACTGCCTGGTGTTGGTCCCCCTGGCAAACCCAGAGAAGTACAAAGCCACCTGCTCTCAGGAAGCCTCTGGCCAGGCAGGAGCGGGTCCTGGCTGACCGCACACAGACCCCAGTCATGGGCCCTGCCTCTGGGAGGATGGTAGAGTCTCAGTGAAGAAGCAAGAACCATGCGGAAAATTAACCCAGATAGGACCTTCTCCGGGGGTCCGAGGGTCCCAGACGATCCAGGAACCGGGGGTGGGGGAAGTGTTCCCTGAGAACATGCACCTTGAAGGAGGACAGATCGGATCAGAAAAGCAAACAGGCGGGAATTCCCTGGTGGTTCAGTGGCTAGGACTTGGCACTTTCACACTTTCACTGCTGTAGCCTGGGTTCAATCCCTAGTCAGGGAACTAAGATCCTGCAAGCTGCAAGGCATAAATGAAAGAAAGAATGAATCAATGAATAAATGGATGAATGGAATGTGATGCTGATAAAAGGCTAAGCGGATCAAAAAAGATGGCTCTGTTTAGATAAGCACCCTAAGAATGACTATGACGATGGCCATCGTTAGAGACCACCTGTCACCACCTGACACAGGATAATATTAATAATGGCAAACATTCATTGTGCACTTACTGTGTGCTGGCTTGGTCCTAATCTCTTTACATTTGCTATTTTTAATAGCAACCCTATGAGGTATGATTGTCCCCATCATCCCCCTTTTACAGAGGCGAAAACTGACTTAGGTCAAGTCGCCAGAGGGACCTCAGCTCCCAGGTTGGCATCCAAGGTCCCAAACAGTTGGGCCGAGTCCTGCCTTCATAAATTCCGGCCACCTTGATCCCCGTCAGGTTTCAACGCCCCAGGCAGGTCTCCTTCAGTTCCTTTCCTGCCACCACTGCCAGCAGGGATTGAGACCTCCACCACACTATCTGCGGGGCTGCAGAAGTTATTTTACCTCTCTGGCCTCAGTTTGCTCATCTGTAAAATAGAGATAATCATAGACCCTGCCTCACAGGTGCTTGTTTAAATATAATAATGCATCTGAAACCTCAGCACCGTACTTGACATATGTACAGAACGTTCCGTGACAGTTGCTACCGAGACCTGTACTCCTGCTGCCAGAGATGTGATCATGGGAGGGGGTGTCAGAGTTTTCACCAAGGCTGAAAGCACCTACAGCCTTTCCCCCCAGCCTGGAACCCTCAGTCTGCTCACAACTAGTGGAGCTACTGACTGCAAAGAGACACAGAGACAAAAATGATCCTGAGGGTCCTAGCGGACCTTCTTCCTAATTCAGGGGTATGTGGTAGGCAGCCACTTGTACACCAGCCAGCTCTCAGTGGTTCTGATCCACACACTTCATTTCATGGAAGACATTCCAGGATCTAGGCTTGCTGCTAGGTGCTGAGGGTAGATGCTGGGACGTGGTCCCCAGCTCCAGGGGAAAGAGCTGGCTGGTCCACCATGTGACCCAGGAGGCCATACCTGTCAGCTGTTGCACTGACCCCGCCTGAAGACAGCTTCAAAGAGAAAGGAGAAGAGAAATAACTAGCGGTGGAGTGCCCCTCTGCGGAGAGCCTTGCTTCCAGAACCCGAGAGTACAGCTTTGCCCGGGCTTTTGCCATAGTGCCATCTTTTGCTTTGCATCTCGCATTACCAGTCTCTTCTGACCCTCACCCTGGGATGTGATAGTGTCGTTCTCTCATAGATGCGGTGGTTGAGGTTTGGGGAAGCTGCATTACTTGTTCAGTGTCACACAGCTTGTAGCGGATGGAGCTGAGACTTCACACCCAGGCACCCTGACCCCTAGGAGACACGTCCTGGAAGGAATCATCTCCCTGACACACACACCACCTCCTCTAGACTACACTGAGAAGCCTGGGGCTGGTGACACAGACACCTGTGTCCTCCACTCACCCCAGCTGGGAGAGCTGTCCTGGGACGGCCTTTGGAGTCAGTCACAGCAGCTACCAACACTCTTTCTTTTACTCAGCAGTGTTCCTTGGCTGCTGTCTGCCGGGCTGCTGTTCTGCGACCCGGGTGTCTGCTGATGACCTAGAGTGTGCAGCTCCTCGGGCACAGGGATTTGTCTGGTGTGTGCCTGCTGGTGGCATCCAGGAACACTGGTTGAATGACCAGTATCCGGTACCAGTATGAGAGACAGATTGGGAACAGCTGAGGCTGCTTTCTTAGCTAGCTAGTCAGGGAAGGCCTCTCGGAGACATTTGAGCAGCGTCCTGAGTGCATGAGTGAGCGCCTGCTGTGTCCCCGGCACCGTTCTGAGCTCTAAACTTGGATTATCTCATCCAGTCCTCACAATAACACCCTCAAGGACGGGTGCCGTGATCCCGTGTTACAGACGAGGAAACTGAGGCACGACAGTTATTGCAGCTTGTTCTTGCAAAGCCAGGATTCGACCCAGACTCACTCTCTTTCCCAGGAACCTAAGCCACAGCTCCAGCTCTGTGACAGCCATGCAGAAAGGGCCAGACCTTGGCCTCCTAGTCTCTGGCCATCTGGAATTCAGGCCTTCGGTGACAGGGCTGTTAGACAAGGCAGGATGGTTGCCTCTCAACGTGGTCCCAGGCTGCACAGAGACCTGGAGTTCGGCTCTCGATTTGGTGGATGGGAAGACCGTGGCTGGGTGGGTGGGCAGGGCCCCCTGCAGGGACCTTTCCTCTGGGGGAAAGATGCCTGGTGTCCTGAAATTGGCTCTTGCCAACAGAGGTCAGGCCCCCGATCCAGCCGGCTGTTCCTTGCCTGCTGGCTCTGCTGGACCAGCACAGCTGGAGACCATGGCCCTCCCCTCAGCACCACGGAGAAAACAGCTTATGCAGGAGGACCAGCCGGGAGCTGGGGCCGGGGTGACGGGCAGAGGACTGTGCTGCATTCAGACACCACAGCTAGCTGGGGGTCTAGCCTGTCCCATCGTCGGCTGTGACCCTGTGGGATGGTGGCAGGGCCCTGTGGCAGCCAAGGCAGGTGGGCTGCAGGTGCCTCCTCTGTCCCTGTTTTCCTGTGACACACACGTTACCAAACAGCAGAACAGAGGCCCAAACCCACTAATGACCCTAACTTTTATCAGGCTCCATTTAACTATTTCCCTCAAATGAAGTCATTTAGTCTTTATAACAATTCTTTGAAATGAGGAGTATTGATTCCCCCTCCATTTTAAATATGGAGAAATGAAGACTTGATAAGTTAAAAGAGCTTACCTAGGACATTTGTTTGCTCATGTATCCATTGAAAAAAAACGGCTGAGCATCTGCTAACAGTTTGTCTCTGTTCCAGTCTCCAACCCAGGGCTTTCTTCCTCCAGGGCCCGAGCGCCCGGCCACCTGCGGTGCTGTGGGGCCTCCCTCCGCTTCCTCTGGTCTGGGGGGGCTCAAGGCCCTCTGGGCCCAGGGTAGGCCGCACCCCGCGCCTCGCGCCCGCGCCCCGCACTCCTTGTAACGCTGGCCTCTCCCCACAGGAGAGCGAGGACGCTGTCAAAGCCCTGGCCAAGGAAAAGGACCTGCTGGAGCGCGAGAAGTGGGAGCTGCGGCGGCAAGCCAAGGAGGCCACGGACCACGCCACGGCACTGCGCTCCCAGCTGGACCTCAAGGATAACCGCATGAAGGAGCTGGAGGCGGAGCTGGCCATGGTGAGACCCCACCCCCTCACCCACCCACCCAGGCCTGGTGGGGCATCTGCCGGAAGTGATGTCATGGCTGGGAGACAGGGAGTGCACGTGGGCTCACCTGGGAGTCCAGAGTGGAGTCCGCAGGGGCGGGGCCGGGGCGGGGCCGGGGCCGGGGCGGGGTCTGGGATGACCCCTCTGGTTGGTCGTGGCAACCACACCGCCTTTCATCCACCTGACTGGGGCCGAGCGTGTGGGGATGCTGGGAAACCATTCACTAGCCTTTGGGAGGAAAAATACCAAAAAATTAATATTGGTTATCTCTGGGTAGTAAGATCACAAGTGGCTTTTATTACTTTTTTTTCCCCTGTTTTCATCAGTCTTATTATATTACTTGGGTCCTCAAGGAAAAAAATGTTTTTTTCTAATCTAAAACATCCCTCAAAATACATGCACTGTGTTTTCCTCAGAGATGGGCAGCCTGCATGTGGGGACAGAGAGTCTAGGTGGTGCTTCCAGGCCTGGCCTGTCAGCAGAACTGAGGTCCAGAGCCCTGGGGTTCTGCTCTACCTGCTCCTGTGTAACCTTGGTCTGCTCACTGAACTTCTCTGAGCTTCAGTGACCTTTATCTGGTCCTGGGGTGGGGGTGAGGGTCTTTATCCCACTCTGCCTTCCCCAAGAGATGTTTGATCAACTTTAGAGAGCTCGTGGCTTAAAGGGCCTTTGAAACCACCATGGCTCAATGTGGTGGTGGCTGGGAGGAGAGTGTGTAGGGAACTCCCAAGGTGGGGCGAGTCGCATGTTTCTTAGTGAGAACTCAGCGTTCTCTGCAGCACTGATGCTGGCTCATGGTGTGGTTACCACCATGGGTTCTGGGTTTGAATCCAGCCCCCATCGCTGTCTAGCTGTGTGACCTTGGGCAGGACCCTTCCCCTGTCTGGGCCTCAGTTCCATCAAGTGTCAATAAGGGTAAATGCATATATCCCATAGGGCTCTTGTGAGGATTTCAATGAAATGATGCAAGAGAAGCACTTAGCCCGGCCTGTACATGGTGAGTGATGATATGACAAGAGGGAGGTTTTCTATGGTCAGTTGCTTCAGGAGCAGGGGTCACCCAGGGCAAGTCAGGATCTGTGGGCCCCTCCTGGGACCAATCCCACCCTCTGCCTCCTGGGTCTCCTTGTCCAATGCTGACCCCTAGTGGTGAGAGCTGCCCAGGCTGGAGGAAGCTCCAGCTGCTGGGTCTCCTCTCTGGGGTCTTCCCACCAGTGGGGTCGGTGGTGCTGGCGGCCCTGCTGCCACGTGCAGCCCAGACAGAAACCTTTCAAGTTGACAGTCTCGGAAGGGAGTGCAGGGTGAGGTGAGACCTTCATTCTCCCAAGTCTTCCCAGCGTCCTGTGATGGACAGATGGCTCTTCCTTGCCATGGACCACTAACCTCAAGCATCCTGGGGAATTCTGGGGTCTTTCAGGATTGGGAGCCAGCTCACCTCTGCTTCCACTCTCACCATGCCCAGATAACTTGACCTGCTTTAGTTCTGGCCAGCGAAACTCAGGTTCTTGCCCCCTCCCTCTGGCAGGCATCAGGCCTCTCTGCTAAGTGTGACTAGTTAGGTGAATGTTTGCGGCTCAGGGTGGTGGGTTTGCTGTAATGTCAGCACAGGCACAGCCTGTGAGAGCCCCGGTGTTGGTGTGTGTCCACTTGCCCGGAGGTCCCCTCTGTTGCCCGCCATCTGCAGAATTTCACAGCCTGGAGGCTTCCAGGGCTGCCGGCTCCGGGCAGTGTTGTCCAGCTCCCCTCACTGCACTGCTGGCCAGGACGAGACTAGAGGGAAGGTACCTTCCCTGCATGTGTGCCTGAGGTCCTCGGGTTGCAAGCCACAGAAAGCAGCTCGGGCTATCTGAGCACACAGGGTGCACTGGAAGGAAGTCAGGAGCTCACAGGTGCAGTGGGAAGGTGGAGGGCCAGGCTTGGAAATGGGCCGAAGCCAAAGCAGCCGCAGGGAGTGGGGAAGCCAGGATTCCATCTGGAATGGTCCACTCAGTGGCCCCTGCTGGGGGAGATGAACCCAAACCCTTTGCCCTCTGAATTTCACTTCAGTTTTCAAAAGTCTGATCAAGTACAGGGTATTCAAGTGGTCCATCTGAGGGTCACTTGCTTACTCCTGATCTAGGAGTTCTGGCTGTGGCTCTGGTGATAGGTAATTTCTTAAGTGACCCACCCACAACACGGAAGCCATGGCTCAGCTCCCTGGTGAGGGGTGAGCAGGCCCTGCCCCAATTCAGGCATTACCCCTCCCCAACCCAGCCTCCGCTGGGTCTCCACACACCCTATGCAGCTGAAAAGGGCCGCTTCACTCGAGTAAAAGTCGAAGGACGTTGGCTTCCCAAGAAGCAAACACCCCTCTTGGTGCTTTGCTGATGGACTGCAGCCCGTGGGGAGGGGACACTTCCTGATGGGCTCCAGCCCGTGGGGAGGGGACACTTCCTGATAACAACTTCTGGCCGAGCTAGGCATTACCACACCTGGAGCAGTTTCACTCCCGTAGCCACACTGGCTCTGTGGAGACCACCCTGTGGTTTGTTTGTTTGTTTAAGTAAAAAATTTTCAATATGCGTTTTATTGAGATATAATTCACATATTATAAAATCCGTCCTTTTATGACATAAATTCAGTGATTTTTAGCACATTCACAAAGTTGTGCAACCGTCACCACGATCTAATTCCAGGACAATCTCATCACTCTAGTAAGAAGCCCATATCCATTAGCGGTCACTCCAGTGAGGTATATATTCTTGTTGTGCCCATTTTACAGATTTGGAAACAGGCTCGGTGTGCAGGAGGCTCACCCAGAGCTGCCCAGAGGGTTGAGAGGCAGAGCTGGGAGGTGGGCAGTCCCCGTGCTCCGTGATGGGAGGCCTCTGAAAGGACACCCAGATGCTGGCCTGAAGGAGGCGCGTCCTCTTACCAGCCATCGCTCATCCCTCAGGCCTTCCCCAGTGGCCTCTCCAGTCACTGAGCAGGCGGGAGACAGGGCTGCCAGCCCCGAGATCACAGGCTCCCCCCAAGTGCTAGTCCTGTCCACTCCCTCCCCCAGGAGCCTGGTTCCTGGTGACCTAGTTTTCTATCAACGTTCTCCAAAATGGGAGACAGTTCTTACGTTACTATGTACACTGTACACAGGGCTTCTCACCCTCAACACTGTTGACATTTGGGGGCCGGAGAAGTCTGTTGTGGGACGTCCTGTGCGCTGTGCGGTGTGCAGCAGTATCCCCGGCCTCCCCCCACGAGATGCCTGTAGTGCCTCCCAACTGTGGGGAATGAAGTCTCCAGACATTTCCCAGTGTTCCCTGGAGGGGCAGAGAATTCACGCCGGTTGCGAACCACTCCTCTGTAAAGTGTGGGATTCCCTCGTCTCAGTGTCTGTCTCTGCCCTGGCCGTGCAGTTCTAACACAGCCCCAGTTGGGGGCCTGCGTTTCCTGGCTGTGTGATCTTTGACAAGTGACTTAACCTTTCTGAGCCTGTGTTCATACGTATAAGACCTTCCTCCTGGGGTGATTGTGAGGTGAAGTGACGGGAAATCAGGGCAGGCTCTCCACCCGCACTCAGTGGACGTTAGCTGTTGTTACTGACGTTGGAGACCAGCCTGTCCTCGGGCCGCGCCAGGACCAGGAGTCGTGGATTCCCACGTCCCGTCCACTAGCCAGTCATTTTGTGTCCTTGAGCTGCCTGGGCCTCAGTTTCCTCGTCTGTAAAAGTGACGGCCACCACAGGCCCAGGCAAGAGTAGGGCGCGGTGAGGGACCAGCGAGAGGCAGGGTCGAGCGGCAGGGGTCAAGGGTGATCGCGGTTTGTTTTTTAATGGCCGTGCTCTGGGTTGTTACCACTCCTGCCCTCTCTCTGAGGAAACCAGCTGGCCACACAAGCACACCTCCCGGCCCCGGACCACTGCCATCCTGGCCCAGCAGACCAGCCCTGGCCCACAGCCAGCTCTGAACACTGGGTCTGAGCTCAGACCCCCGGCCACACACATGAGGTCAGGGCCCACCCGAGCCCGACATTGTCCCCCAAGAGCCTCCCTCCACCCCCGGGCCTGCGGTTGTCGGAGATGGTATGGAGCCAGTATTGCCTCATCAGCTCATGCTGGTACCTCCATGCTGGACCTGCGACTACTGCAGCCTGAGATCTGGGACGGGGTCGCGGCCAGTAAGCCCAGGAAGAGGATGGTGGAGTCAACTTGTAGCTGGCGTCACGCTCCTTTGGTGCAGATGCAGCGTCTCCGCAGCTGGAGTCCACGGGAGCACGACCCTTCTCGTGTTTGCTTGGAAGGTTCCTGCCCCGGGATCCTCCCCGCCTTTGGCGGGAGAGACGTTCCCTAGCCAAGCTCAAATTCCTTGGAAAGCCAGTAAAGGGTTCCCTTTAGCCGCACTCACAGCATCCCTCCGGGGCCAGGCCTGTTCTCTGACTGGAAGTACATCCTGGCCTCCAGGCAGCTAGGAACCTGAGGGTGGGGGAGGGCAGGGCCCCCGTGCCGCTCTCCCTTTCCACTTCCCAGATTGTCTGATCTCAGGGAGGCATAAGTCATCCTAACAGCCTGCTACTTTTTGAACAGGACAATAGACCAGACAGTATCCTGGGCTTTCATGTGAATTATTCCACGTCTGACTCCTACTTGTGAAATGGAAACTGTTTCATGATAGCAGTCACCAACGTTCATTGAGCTTTTTTTTTTACCATCGGCTAAGTGTTCTTCATGGCACCCATGTTATCCCCATCAGACAGACTAGGACATGAAGGCACAGAGAGGTGAGGGGCCTCTCTTAGGATCTCCCAGCTAGGAAGTGGCAGAGCTGGGATCAAATCCAGGCCGCTGGATGCCACGGCCTAGGCTCCGAGGCGCTGTGCCGGGCCACCTCATCCCACAACTTACCTATAAAAGTAACCCCTCAGTTCCCATCTTACTGTGAGGACCTTGAGGCTCAGAGTGGTGGAGTAACTTGCTGCAGATCACACAGCAAGTCAAATAGTAGAAGTGGAGTTTGAACCCAGTTCTGTCTGACTTTTGTCACATGAGGGTGTTTGAGCCTATTCTTCAATTCCCAGGAGCTCAAAACTGCGGGCTCAGGGTTCTCAGCAGGGGGTGGAGGCGCAGAGGGAACTCCCAGCATTGAGTTGCATTCAATGGAAGAGATTAGTAGAGAAATGCTGTGCAGGCTGTCACAGGAAGATGATTCAATGCAGCAACGAGAGAGAGACAGAGAGTACATGCACGTATTTTAAGTTAGACCTTACGTGCCTTGTCTGCAGTTCACGTCTCTGTTTCGCTCTGTCTCAGAGGTTTAAACTCATGAGTGGACAGTGTGTGAGAGGTTCCTGTGCTCAGAATTCACAGGCACACCTGCCCCATCCCGCAGGACTAACCGTAGGCTCCTCCCCATTGTCAGGCAGTGATGATGCCAAGCCGCCTGCTGAGTTAGAAGGTGCTGCTCTCAGGCCCAGACCGAGGGGAGATCCACCTGGAAGAAGGAAGCCAGGTGCGGACAGGAGAGCAGTCCTGCCCAGGCCTCTTCCTCGTGCCTTCCTGTGCTGCCTCAAGGGGCTGCTTATTTCACTGGGCGACTCGGACTTGCCTGCGCTTTCCACGTGTGTGGCTGGGGATGTCTGCAAGAGGGCAGAGCTGAGGGTTAGTTAGCATGACGGCAGACCGACTGGGCGCTCATTTCCCACCCAAGTCCACCTTCCTGGCAGCCAAGATGGATTGGACAGGAGGAAGCAAGGGAGTGGGGCAGCTGCCCGCATGGAGCGGTGCCAGGATGGAGGGCTCGGAGGCCAGATGCACAGACACCTGGAGGGGAGAGCAGATGTGGTCCCGAGTGAGATACGGTGGTCCAGGAAACATGAGTCCGTGACACTGGACCTGCAGCAGGCACGCGGCAGCTCCAAGACACAGCCAGCCTGCTGAAGGATCGCTGCACCGTTCCTGTGGTAAACTAACAGAGTTGCTTCCCTGGGCCGTCCGCCTGGACATGGCAGAAGCCTGCTTCCATTTCCCCTGCAGATCTTTACTGAGTGCTTCACTGAATGTGCCCAGCCCCAAGCCAGGTGCTGGGGATCCCGTGGTGACCAGCCGCGCCCCACTCTCTGCCTCGTGGATTCAGAGTCGGCATCGCTTGTGCGGGTTATTTCCTTGCCCCAGAGGAGCGTGGGCGCCATAGAAACCACATGGGGCCCCCAGGCTCCCAGACTTGGGCCCCAATTTGGACATTGTGCCTGCTGTGCACGCTTGGAGAAGTCGCTTAACCGCTCTGAGTTGCTGGTTTCTCCTCTGTCAAGCCCAGGGCTGTTGCACTGAGCACATGATATTTTTCTAAACCAGGGATTATTTACCAGATAATAACCAGAGATTATTACCTGGCTTGGGGGTGGGGCTGACACCAACTCAGCCTCCCTCTGCCATATGGGTTTATATTCCCTGGGGTCTGGCAGTGGAAGGGGAGTGATTTCATAGACTCCTGGGGTATCCAAGCTAGAGGGAGCCCTAAAGATTGGTCTAGGCTTTTCATTACACAGATGGGGAAAGTAAGGCTCGGAGAAGGCAGTGACTTGTCTAAAATAACACAGCTGTCAACGTGATGAGGGTATATCAGGCTTTAGGTCAAGAACTTCATTTCTCAGCTAGAATCTCTTTCTCAAGGACCTCTGCTCTGCATGGAGGAGCCCAGGGCCTTGGGGGAAGTATGGAAAGTTCTGGAGCTAGGAGAGAGATGAGGTGAGGTTTTTCCATCTCATCTGTGTTCATTTTAGGGGCAAGGCCAGCACTCATGGTGGCTCTGCCATCTGTAGTGACCCCCAGATTCACTGGAAATCTCAGTGTGAGGCCCTTGGGCCCCGCCCCGTGTGCCCCCTCTCCCCTGACATGAGCCTGGGGAGCTAGTGCGGAAGTGGAAATTGACTATGAAAGAAAGAATATGCATTAATACATTTCTAATATGTACCCTTTTTCTCCCCCAAATAATTTGAGATCACTTCTAATACAACCCCCCATACCCTGGGGGAGATAATCCAAAGCTGGGAGAGACCTCAGGCACAGGACCGAGAAAGGAAGAGCTCTCTATCCCACCTGCCAGAACTCAGCCCCACGCTTGTCCCTGGGTTTCCTTGTGTCCCACGTATTCTCATGTGATCCTGAGAGCCAGGTTGGGGGCTGCCCTATCCCCAGCCTGTGTTGCACAGCACCCTGTGAAGGGGCCGTCGGAGGTTGAATTGGGGAGGAGGTAAGGTGCTGAAAGGCAAAACACCATTTTCTTACCATCTCATTCAAATCCCAGCTGGTTCTTGGAGAACCCGAAAGAATGGGTGCTAAGTGTGTCCTCGGTCCCCCTTTGTGTTCTCACTTTGTGTTGGCAGGAACTAAGGGGTAACTAACCCCAAAGCAAACCCTCATGTGAGGTACTGATTGGCACGCAGTGCAGAGCCAGAGACACCCTGGCACAGAGGTTGGATTCGTGGCTTTCTCACGATGGTGGGTAATGGCCAAGCAGTAGGCTGAGAGGTCCCCTTGATCACGTCATCTTCTTCCTGTCCCCCGGCTCTCTCTCCAGGCCAAGCAGTCCTTAGCCACGCTGACCAAGGATGTCCCCAAGCGGCATTCACTCGCCATGCCTGGCGAGACGGTGCTTAATGGCAACCAGGAGTGGGTGGTGCAGGCGGACCTCCCACTGACCGCAGCCATCCGGCAGAGCCAGCAGACTCTCTACCACTCACACCCCCCCCACCCTGGGGACCGGCAAGGTGAGTCCAGCCCAGCCACAGCTCCGGGGGTGTCTCAGGAGGCCATCTGGCCCCCTGGGAGGGGCGGCCTCTTTATTCACACTATAGCTGCTTTTAGGGGGGTGTAGGGGAGAGGCCATGGCTCAGGGGACTGAAAAGTCTAAGAGATGGACCTCAGGCATAGCTGGATACCAAGGTTCAGACAATACCTGGGTCTGACTCTCCATCTCTCAGCTCTGCCTGCCTCCATTCGACCTCATCTTTAGGCTACCTCTTTTCACAAAGCAGAAAACAGTCTCCAGCAGTTTCAGGCTTTTAGGGCCCTTGAAGCCCAAAAGTCTTGAGAAAGAGAAATCTTTCTCTGTGTGTATAGTAAATCCCAAAGAAGGACTCTGATTGGCCAGCCAGGGTCACATGCCTATCTCTGGACCAATCACTGTGTCTGGCAGTGGATGCACTGATTCTCCAGTCTAGGTCACATGGGCGTCCTTTGGCAGAGGAGACAGTGAGAGCTCCTTGATTGCCAGCTCCAGGTAATCACTGGATGTGTGGGAGGGGCAGAAATAAGTGTTAGGGGTGTTTGCTGCAGGCACTGAGGGGAAGAGGGGCCCAGCCTGTGGTCAGCATCTGTACCCGTGGGCCACAGGAGAAGCCCCAAACTCCTCTGTACATCTGCGGCCCACTTGGCTCCATTTTCTGTCCCTCCTACGAGTGGTCGCATTTGTGTGACAGATGCAGGTCGGAGACAGGCAGCTGGTTTCTGGAGCCTGTGGGTCCTGCCGTCACCTAGCTGGGAACCCAAGTCCCTGACTCCAAAGCCCCACGCTCCTCCGTATGACCATATGGCCATTGGCAGCAAGGATTTTCTTTCTCAGTAATGTAGCCCTCGCTGCTCACATGCTGCCTGCACACAGTAGGTCCTCAGTCTTGTCGAGCAGAAAGTGCTTCCTCCATCCAGCGTCTGCAGACAGGAGAGCACTCTGCTGGGGGACTTGGGTGGGCTTCCAGGAATCCATCTACTACTGAGTAAGCAGCTACTGCACACCAGGCACCGTGAGCGCTGGGGTTGGACATGGCTAAGACACCCAGACTGCCTGCATTCATCAAGCTGGCATTGTAGGTGTGAAGACAGAAAACACACGTAACTAAACTGACAAAGAATGATTACAGATTATATTCAGTGCAGGGAGAGAAATCAACGGAAAACAGGTGCTTTGTTGGGAAAGAAAAGACAGTGGGGAGAGCTGATAATAGGGGAGGTTTCTCTCGGGACAGGCTGAGACTTGAAGGCTGAGGATGTGCCTGATGGGCAGCAGGGCCAGCGAAGGGTGAGGCAGGAGGGAGATGGTGCGTGTCGGGCACCATCAGAAAGCTGCTGTGACGTGAGCCGAGGCTGGTGGGGTGGGCAGGGTTGTATCCCCTCGGCTTGGAGGAGGACAGCACGTATCTACCCCCAGGTAAAGAGAGACCGGATGCCTGGCTCTCATGGCAGTGAGGAGAGGAAGCAGGGAGGCCCTCTGGGAGGCCGCCATGGTCTTCTAGGCAAGAGACAGTGGTGGCCTGGGCTTGGGTGGTGGCAGTGGGGCTGGAGAGAAGTGGCCAGATTTGGGGCTGTGTTTGGAGGTGCTGCTGCGGATCGGGCGTGGGGTGAGGGGGTGGGAGAAAGAGAGGAGCTGGTGGTAGCCTCACGGCTTCTCTCTTGGGAAACTGGTACTGACCATGGGTTAGGATTGCACCAGGCCTAGGGAACGTCCAGGTGGCTGGAGCACTGTGAGGACAGTCACCGAGGCCCCTGGAGCCTTCTGCCCCTTCCCCTTCACCCTGGTTAGGAGGGGACCTAATTGGATCCAGAGGCTGGAGGTTCTTGTTGGCAGTGGCTCTCTGGTGACCCGTGGGGCTGTGAAATAGAGGGGTGGAGAGCTGGGCAAGTCTCTTCTCTATGTCTCAGTGTTCCCATCTGTATAATGGGGGCGTTGGGTGGACTGACCTGCAAGTCAGTGAAGGCAAGGACATTCTCTCCATCCCCCACTCACCAGCTGTCCCTGCTTTCCAGCGGTCAGGGTGAGCCCCTGCCACTCCCGGCAGCCCTCCGTCATCTCCGACGCATCTGCCGCTGAAGGCGACCGGTCGTCCACGCCAAGCGACATCAACTCCCCTCGACACCGGACGCACTCCCTCTGCAACGTAAGGCCAGCAGCAGCAGGGCCTGGGCCTTGGGCCCCGCCCGGAAACCACAGGGGTGGGCGTGGAGGGGGTGAAGACCTACCCGCTGTTTCCTCTCGTCCACCCAGGAAGCATTCTGGCGAAGGCATTTCCTGTTCTGTTCTTTCCTTTTGCAAGAAGAGATGGATGTGGGGAGAGAAAGAAATGAGGCCTGTTGGCTCCTTGTGTCCGGGAGGGCAAGGAAAATCCAGAGGATGGCGGGCCTGGGTCGGCCTCAGGGCTGAGCAGCCTGGGCTCATCTCTGGTGGGCTATGTCTGGGACCGTAGGCTTCTCCTCCCAGACCATACCTTCCAGGGCTCAGGACCTCACCACCACCCCTGTTTCCCTGTAGAGCCAGCTCTTGGTCCTGCAGGAATGAGCTGGATTTTTTTTGAATCTCCAGGAGTTTTTGCACATTTTGCCTCTGGAGAGGCACCCGGTGAATTCTTTCTAAGTTGTGTTTGCTTTGCTTACTTAATTGCAGTTTTTTGATTTCATACTGGGTCCCAGCTACCAAGAGGCACAGGTCCGTGGCCACCTAACTCTTGATGGCTGGTGGGACAGACAGGCTCCCCAGGAGTGAGGGGGTGAATGAAGGTGGGTGGGTCAAGCATCTGAGGACAGGAAGACGCCACATCAAGGCTCTAATGTGAAACACTGGGGTCAGGATGTGGGGACCACTTTTCACATGTGTTCCATCATGCGACTGAGAATCCAGAGGGTGCCCCTGCCGCGTCCTAAAGACACAGTAGAGTCGGGTCCTCAGACACACAGGAAGCCTTTCTCAAAAACTCAGTCAATGTTTTATTAACCAGCGAGATGGATAAGAAACAAGAAATGAGGTGGATATCGTGCAAAAGAAAGACAAGATAACCACTACTTGCAGTGGGATGCTTATCTACCTGGAAAACCTCAAGAGAATAACCAGAAAAGCCATTAGACTAATAGTGAGAAGTACAGAATGGTACTGGTAGAATATCAATTGATAAAAATCAGTAACTATTCTATATTAGTAATCCCAATGGAAGCATTTTTTTTTTCCAAATCTAGAATAACAATGAAGAGCACTTAATAAAAATAGCTAAGACTGGGCTTCCCTGGTGGCGCAGTGGTTGAGAGTCCGCCTGCCGATGCAGGGAACACGGGTTTGTGCCCCGGTCCGGGAAGATCCCACATGCCGCGGAGCGGCTGGGCCCGTGAGCCATGGCCGCTGAGCCTGCGCGTCCGGAGCCTGTGCTCCCCAACGGGAGAGGCCACAACACTGAGAGGCCCGCATACTGCAAAAAAAGAAAAAAAAAAAAAAAAAAAAGCTAAGACTAAATTTGAAGTAAGTTGCCTCAGCATGGTGACATGGACAACAGACACTGCTGGCCGGGGCCTCGCAAAGCCACGTCAGGACGGGGAGGAGGTCACTTCAGGCCTGAATCCCACTCGGGGCTCGGATTCTGTTTTAACTGGGGCTTTAAGGAAGCAATCTGTTCTTCTCTTGTTCCCAGGAGAGAACCCTGGTGACAAAGGCTGTCCTGACAGAACCAAGACGAGGAAGGTGGGCCAGTAGAGGGGCCTCTGCTGTTACTCTCTTGTTCTGAGGGACCACTGTTGAGCTATACATACAGCCAGCAGTGCCCTTTGTTCTTAGTGTGGGCCAGATACCCTGTAGCGTCTGAGAATACCTTCCCAAGGGCCATACCTTGTCTTCCCATGGGGGGCCCACGGGGGCTTTGACAGCCAAAATGCTGCTGGAAAATCCATTCTGCAGAAAGAGTTCTTCAAAGGCCTCTTGAATTGCATCTGGCTCAGACCTAGCCTTTTGCCCAACTTGGCTTTGGCACATACCTGAGGCTACAGGCAGCAGATCCGGCATATTTATTCCCAAGCTCGCTTTACACAGAGCCCTGGTGCCAGGCAATGGGTGCTTTGATAAGCCAGTTTTCTACACATAGGCATTTCAGTGGGCTCTGGCCTCATTCTCTTCCCCATAAATTTGGCAAAGATGGCCTTGTACAGGGCCAACCTACCTTAGCTGCCTGCCAAATAGGTTCTGTTTGCAAACCTTGAGATGGGACTAAAGACTAAACTACCATTTGTTCCATCCCCACCCTCCCTCAACCACCTTCATCCCCCATCTCAACCGATGTGCACACAGGTAAGCCAGGAAGAGCCTGAAAATAGCTCCGGGTAACCGTCTGTGCTCAGGCATTTGGCCTGGTACCAGCAGGAACAGCCTGACCTGGAGTAAGGACCTCCCCATCCTTTCATGCTCTAGTCACTTATTTAGAGCAGAGGTGGGGACTCAGCACAGAGAGGCTGGAGAAGATTGATGGACATTGGCTCAGGTGACACATGCTTTATTTCTTGCCTTTTGCCTGCAATTCTGGAAGTGACCACCAGGAGTCTCCCTAGTAATGACTTGTGATCCCAGTGATCTATGGTACCCACCCCCAGGCAGGACAGACTGATTCTGGGATGTGGTGAGGGCTTTTGTACACTCACAGGAAGGAGCACTAGACCAGGGAGAACCAGACGGTCTTGAATTTGAGGTGTAGCTCTGGTTTTAATTAGCTCTATAATGTTGGACTGTCTGGAACCTCTCTGTGTACCTGTAAATCAGGCTAATGAGCCCTGTTTTGGCCCTCCACAAAATAAGAGATTCATTGTGTTGTTTGTGGGGGAAATAAGAGGATGGGTAGTCGCCCAAGTCTTCCTGTCCCAAAATTCTTTATTTTGATTTTTTCTATAAAATTATACTTCTTTATGAAAAGCACCAAGTATAACCAACTTCAGTTCTAACTCTGTGGACCAATTGGGAGAGGAACTTAGAAGACTTTGAGTGACTGATTTGTTGGTCAGAGGGTGTTAGGGGTCAAGAAGCCAGAGCAGGCAGGAGAGCATCACAGGGCCTCTGGCCAGGACCCCTGGTCCTGGCAGCATCTTCATGAACCCCAGGTGTCGTCATTGAGCCATTTGGAAGTGTCTACTTCAGGGGTGGAGGGTGGATTCCCCAGTACAGAAGCAGGGCGCTCCCTAGGGGATGGCTTCCTTCCACAGAAAACCCCATGCTCCACAGGCCACCTCTGCTCTCATGTGTTATGTGTCTTTGCTGTTTCATCTTCCTCTTCTCCTTTGGCTACAGGGAGACAGTCCCGGCCCAGTTCAGAAGAACCTGCACAACCCCATTGTACAGGTAGGTGTGCCTTCCCTGGCCACTCAGGCCCTCCCTCCACCCCACCTTGACCGTGACTTCACCCTTTTCCTCCTCAGCCCTCAGCACCACCATGTCCATACTTGGCCACCCAGGGCAGAGAGGAGTTAAGCCACTACCTCGGTGACATATGGGTCAGTGCCCCAGCCAGGCTCAGCACCTGAGTCTGCCCTTCCATGTCCTCTTCTAGATCTGTGGACCTACTAAGTGCATCACGCATCCCTGGAGAGTGTCTTCTCCTGGCAGCCAAAGGCTAATGACGTGGGCCCTGGGCTCTTTGGGACCCTTGCTGCAGGAAACTTTCTAAAATTCATTTTTAACCTTTCAATACTCTATCCTCAGAGTGAGAAGGGGGCTGTAGGGAGGAAAACAACATGAATTTGACTGTCAGATGGGGTCTCTGAGATCAGCTTTCTAGTCCTGGGGTTCCCACATGCTGGTCTTCTGGACTGCTCGTCTGCATCAGGGTCCACCAGTGAAGATTTTTCTAATGCAGATTCCTGGGCCCTTCACCCAGAGATTCTGATCCACCAGGTTGGGGGAGGGGGGTGTTGGCTGGATTTCAGGTAATTCTGACATGGTTTGGGGAACCATTAGTCTAGTCTAACCTCCACCTTTTTGACCGGTAACACCACTCTGCATCTTTGTATAAAGCACTTGACAGTTTGCAAAGCTCTGCTGCAGACACCACCCCAGTCCCGTAGTTACCCCGACAGGAAGACCTCCTCCACATCATCATCATCATCATCATCACTGTCTTTGTCATTATTAACAATCCCCCATGTCACAGACGAGAAACCTGGGCTCAGAGAGGCTGGGGGCTCTCCACGTTTCCGTGGGTAGTGACATAACTGGGATTAGAACCCAAACCCCTGCCTCCCCACTCTACCGAGGCTAGTCCTGCTTCTTGTCCAGGGCCTTAAGGTCTGGGGTCCTTGCTCTTGGCTGACATGAAGCTCAGATTTCCTCCTTCCTGGTTTTCCCGGCTCTCCTATGCCCCCTTTTCCAAGGGGACATTTTCCGCAGTGAACTTAATACACTTGCGATGCCCCCTCCGGATGGGCCCTGTGGTCAGCCGTGGCAGCATGCGTGGACTCGATTCTGCAAGCCCTCCACGAGCACTGGAAGGCTGTAGGCAAACTGAATTTAAATGATAGTACAAACCCCACCAGCAGCCGTTATGAATGCTACTTATGTGCCAGGCACTGTTCTAAGCGTCTTTACCCTCACGTTAGCAACATCCTCATGACAGCCTTGGATGGGTCCTAATGTCGTCCCCGAGAGATTCTGTAACTGGCCCAAGTCCGCTCAGCGAGTGAGGGGCAGACCCTGTCATCCTTACCTACTGGTGCCTCCCACCAGCCATCCCCCACCCCCTACCCCTCCCTGTCTTCTGCCCCAGCTCAGCTTGCCTTTGTTCTTCTCCCCTCTACCTCTGCCACTTGGCCTGACTCCTCAGTCACTAGAGGATCTTGAAGACCAAAAACGGAAAAAGAAGAAAGAGAAGATGGGATTCGGCTCCATCTCGCGTGTCTTCGCCAGAGGGAAGCAGCGGAAGTCCCTCGACCCCGGCCTCTTTGATGGTACCGCCCCTGATTATTACATAGAGGAGGACGCGGACTGGTGATACCCGCCTCCCTTCGCCTGCTGCCCGGCGGGCGTGTCTGTGCGTGTGGACGTGCGTGCGAGCGGGGAATGCGCGGCTGGGCGTGCGTGGCGGTGCGTGTGCGCGTGCGTGGGAGCTCTCGCGCACGTGGGCGGGGGGGTGGTGCGGCTGAGGCCCGCTCGCGTGGGCCCCTCCCAGGCGTCACCACCTCTGTAATTGATGTACATACTACAAACGTGTGTGAACATGTCAACTCTCTGTTGTCCTCGGAGCGATACAGTTGTGTTGTTAATCTGGGTTTGTTTTTGTTTTTTCAGTGTTTTTTTTTTTTCCGCTTTTTGGTTCGTTGGGGTTTTTGGTTTTTTTTTTTTTTTTTGGTCCCTTCCCCCCCTTCCCTTTTTATGAAACTTGAAAACTTGAAGGACTGCTGTGTATTTGTAAATAACAAAACTATTGTGCACTCCGTGCTTGTAAATGTCCCTCGTCCGAACTGCTACTTCTGGAGCCCGTCTCCCCGAGGATGTAGTCTGTGTTTGATGTTCCCCCCACTACACCCCGCCGCCCACCCGTCCCCCCGGTGTGAACGTGTGGGACCAGACCCTGTTCTCGGGGTGCGCCGAGTCACTTTAACCCCCAAACAACATCGTCATCAGGGTAAGGTCCACTCTCCACAAAGACTTGCGAGCCCAGCCCAGGGGCCCTGTCTTGTCTCGGTTTGTCAGAGGCCAAACGGGCTCTTTCTAACGGCCTGCCAGTTTTTAAATTGCGTTGCCGTTTCTTTCTTTACGGGGAAAAGAAAAGAAAATTGTTCCGTTTAATTTATTTGCACAAATGCAGAAGACTTATTCTATCTAAATTATTACGTAAATATTGGAATGTATATTTTTCCACGGGGGGCGGGCGGGAGGCGGGTTCTCTGTTGACTTGTCTGTTCTATGATCATGCTGCTGCCGAGCTGTGCAAGGTAGAGTTCAGGGTGGCCAGAACCCAGGGACCATTGGACTGCCAAGCTTGCTTTTTTCCGTTCTTTCTTCTTCTCTCTCCCCCATTCTCCCATTCCCGCATGGGAGTGCGCTCCGCCTTTCTTCCTGCCTGTAGCTCTCTCCAGGCCTTTCTCTATATATTTATTGATCTGAAATAACAGAGCACTGACCTCAGTGAACAGAGTGCCTGCTGTCGTGGTCACCTTCTCTTGGGTCTGCCTTTTGAGAAAGGCTGCCGCGTACAGGGCGAGACAGCCGACTGCATGAGCACAGGGTGCGACCACAGGGACCCTCAGCCCGAGTTGGTTCCCGAGGCTCCTGGAGCAGCACGCGTTCCTCGCTGCAGCTGTGTCTCATCCTCGGTTGATTCTGCACGTTGGCCGGGCAGGTGTCATGGGGGAGGCGCCCGTCTCAAGGGGCGGCCTGTTGGGGACACAGCATCCAGCACCAGCACCTCTGCCCTCCCCATTCAGCTTGGTTCCTCCAGCCACAACGCACAGAGTCTCTCGGGATCCCTCGGGCCCTCCTCCAACTTGTCACAGCAGCCTGAGCCTGCTCACCCGAGGAGAGAAGGGCTGGCAGGAGCATCTGCCTATTTGGAGAGCAGTGTTGGCCCCGGTGAGGCTCCGCCAGCAAAGGGACCGTGAGCACTGTAACACCGGGTGATGGAGAACACGTGAGCTTCTAAGCCAGGGCCTCCTGAAGTCTAAAACTAGCTTTCCCTTTTCTTTTAACCTGTGAATCCCCTCCTCTGCACCACCTTAAATACTAACAGCTCAATTCACACATCCTCTAAACAACAGTAGTTGCGCTTTCTGCTAGCAGTAACGTTTTCAGCTCTTACCAAGAAACGGGAGAATTTTAAATGCTGGAGCATGTCTTATCAGAAGGGATAGGATATTTTGTCCAAAGTCTCTAAAACAAACAGAAAAGCCCCAGTCAGCTGCTCCCTTTCCTTCTGACCTGATGGGGGGGTTGGAAAGGAGTAGGCAGGGTACCTAATAAGGATCTTTCTGGCCTTTGGCTAAGCCGTTTCACCCAGCCTGGCGGCGGGGGAGAGCGGCCAGAGCTGGCATCTTTCTCTACAGAGAGATATTTTAGGAAATACTTTTCTCCCCCCCATGAATTTTTTTCTTTTGGTTGATTTTTATTGTTTGCCCTTTATTTACAAGAAAATAAGATTGCAACCCCCTCCTGGTAATGATTTAGTAGTTCCTTTTCATTTCAGTTTTTGGAAATTAGGAGATAATTCTAAGAGTTACTAAGGATGATTTATTTAAGAGAACTACGTCAAATAGCGAATGAGTTATGGGTAACAGTAGATGAAAATAACCTTTCCCGTGGGAAAGGTTTCTCGAAGGCATGGATGCAAATATAAAATATTAAAAAAAATCTAAATAAAGCTTATTTTAAAATATGATCGAATTCTATGTTATTTGATTGCTTCTATCTTACTCCGGGTGGGAGGCAAAGCCTGGCATGACCTGCTCCTTGGAATTCCAGGGCTGGGTCCTGAGGGGGTAATGGGAGGGGCTGAGGAAAGCTGGCTGGATTCTGAGCCCATCGAGGGGCTGAGGCTGGGGTGGCCTCCCAGAAACATCTCATCTTTGCCACCCTGGCTGTAAATTGGAGGAGCCGTCAGCATCCAGGGCAGCCCGTGGTCCTAATGCACCACCTCCGAGTCTGGCACCCTGACCCTGCATTCTCCAGCCCGGTGGCCCCAGTCAGCTTTCATCTGCTTCCTTCTCCCCCGTGGCACTCCTTCCAAAGACCCAGAGCGGGGGCCCCATGAGTTTGGGGCATATTACTTCCTGCAGACCTCAGTGGGCCTCTGCATTGTCCCGACTTTCCCCGCCATCCCTGGGGACTGAGAGGAGTTTAAGAGAGAAATTAAAGGATCTCCAGGGCTTCCCTAATGAAGCCAGAGTGGGCCAGGCTTTTCCAAGACCCGAGATTCACCAGATGCAAAGCCAGTCCTCCCCCTGTGAAACTCCACAGTGTGGCCTGAGAAGAGGCCACCTGGATACCCCAATCCATGATCACAGCCAGTGCCTTCAACCTGTCTCCCAACTTAACAACAAATCCTCCCCAGCAGTAAGACTGATGGAAGACTAGCCTTTTAACTCCCCTTGCATTTCTGCTAGGATAGAGCTCAAAGCACCACAATGTATAGACCATGCCGAGAAGTTACAGAGCTCAGGACTGCAAGGAACTTAGGGGCATCTACCCCAGCAGCTCTCAACCTGGCCACACGTTAAAATCACCTGCCGAGCTTTCTAGAAAAAAATTACCAATGCCAGGTGCTACACCCCTGAATCAGAGTGTGGTTAAACCTTCTCTGGTGCAGCCAGGATTGAGAACCACTGGGCTAATGTGAGGAGGGCGAATGGCCCCAAACACACATGCCACAGCTTCCCTCACCCTGACCTCAAGCAGACATCACTAATCAATTAAAGAGCCCTTCCTACCCAGCCCAAAGTGGCCTCTAATTTTTTCACTTTACAAAGCCTCAGACACCGCCAATCAGTCAGAGTTGGCATCCAAGGAAAAAAGCCTATTTGCCTTCACTAAACTAACCCAACCCACTACACCTAACAGATGGGGGAAACTTCGTCCCAGAGAGGAGTGATTTGGCCAAGATCCTAGCTATCGCTCCTTCAATCCCGTGGCCTTCGCAAGGGCCAGGCCACACCTGATTCAAATCCGAGTAGCTCTACTCAAAAGCCACACAACCTCCTTTGTTAATCTTCTCCAGACCTTGCCCCAAATGGTCCAACTTCAAGTGTCACTATTAGTCAGAAATTGGAGTAGGGCTGCCCCGGCTGCAGGGCCGGTGGACAGCTGCACAGGTTGTATACTGCATTACCCCTGTATGGACAGTGCCCTGAGCTGTGCAGTGCACAGCCTATGTGGCTGTCCTCAGTGGCCCTCCTGCGTGCTCTCCTACCCATGCTGGCAGGTTCTAACTGGCGTAACCTAACAGTAGTAATAACAATAATAACATCTAACATTTGTTGGGCACTTACTATGGGCCAGGGTCCATGCTGCGTGCTTGACGTGTATTAACTCAGTTAATCCTCCAACGGCTCCATTATCGATGAAAAAACTGAGGCGAAGTAAATTGTCCGGGGTCAAGGAGCCAGGAAACAGTAGAACTGGGCGTCCAACCTAGTGAGTCTGTAGTGCCCTGAACCGCTCCTCCGTGTGGGCAGTGAGGGGCTGGGACCCAGCACGTGGGCGCCTCCAGTGCCTCCGAGGGGCCTGCTTTGAGCTTCACCCCACCCCACCCTCACCCACCAGTAGCCTCTGGCACAGCCTAGCACTTCCTTGCTTTTGTGACCTAGTCTATCTCTGTTAGCCTTTTACCTCCAGCCCAGAAAACCCACTCGCAGAGAGGGGCTGGCAGGGAGGGCAGAGCAGAAACGAGCTGTGGTCTAGCATAAGCTCTCCATCTTGGGCAGGGGCCGCCTCCAATCTGCCCTGCTATGGAAGCCCTCGCCGTACCAGAGCTGCCACTTCCTGAGGTGGGGAGGGTCCCCTCAGGATGGCCCAGGGGCCCCAGGAGCTGCCCCACACCTGTCCCCCAAGGTTATGTGGCCGCTGCTATGTACCTCACTCAACCTGGGCTCCCAGGGAATCCAGGTGTAGTGGGGCTGCATCAGATGGGGTCATCAGGCCTGTGACAATATGAGTTGGAAAGTATCTCGGAATTCTCTGGCGTTCCAGTGATGAGGACTCCACACTTCCATTGCCAGGGCCCCGGGTTCGACCCCTGGTCAGGGAACTAAGATCCCGCAAGCCGCCTGGCATGGCCAAAAAAAAGAAAAAAAAAATTTTAATTAAAAACTTTTAAAAGTAAATAATGTCAACTGGCCCTCTCACCAAAACCGTGCATTTCCTCCCAAACATCCTACCCCAGCCCATCTGCTCTGAACAAACGACTCTTAAGTTTTTTCAACTCAAACCCCACCAGGTGGGGCAGAACGTGCCACACTCCCCTACCTCCCACTTGCTCCCGTTTTCCCGTGGGAAAAAAAACCTGGTACTGATAAAGAATCAGCGGGAATACATGTAATTAACTTTATCTTATAAAAGTGTAGATTCATACGTTTATATATAAAAGAATGTCCTAGAAACTTAAAAATAACTTAGGGGTTTGACCTTGACTGTATGTTAGAAGTTGTTTAAATATCTAAGTCATAATGAAGTGTCACCATACAAGCAGATGGAGGGTACACATCCTGAGGGCAGCTAGGGTATGGAGAATGCATACCTGAACCACAACCGCATGGTGTCTTAAAGCCCAGTTACTGAAAAATCTGCAAATATGCAGCCCTGCACTCTGCATCCCCAACAAACTGAATCCTCAAGAAAATTATCCCAAGAGGATTGATCTTTAAGAAGCAAAAATAGTAGCAATTGAAAACCTTGACCTTTCCTTCCTGGAAATGGCAGGAATCCTATTCCCTAGCACATCCCCAGGGAAGTCTTGTGACATTGTCAGGCCAGGTGCAGCAGCCATGCTTCTGAAGCAAAGTCCCTGGAAAACAATGGCTGACTGCTCGTTTGCATTTCTGAGTTTCAGGTTTTGGAAATCTTTGATTGCTTTCTTAATAGGTTACCAGTAGCAGTTAATTGCACCCAAATAAGAGAATCTCAAATTGCATACCTTGCTCCATCTGGAGGACCCTTGCAACCCACCAGTGGCACCAGGACAGGCCTGGGTAATCTTTCCAGCTCTGGCCCAGCATCTGTTTCAAGCAAGTCGTTTAACCTGTGAGCCTCAGTGTTCTCATCTATGAAGTGGGTGTAACAACCCTTTCCTCCTGTGGGCTCAGAAATGCCAGCTGAATGTGTTTTGGAGCCTGGAAAGCACTGGCCCCAAGGCTTGTGTTCTCCAGGATCTGAATGGATTTAAGTTCAACCAGAGGTAGGAAAAAAGTGTGGAAACAGCTTGACATACATCTTGAGCCCGAGGGTGACTTGATCAAAACTTATCCCTGGGGCTGAAATCAGGGCATCCGGCTGCCTGAACCTGACATTCCTTCAGCTGTGTGCACAGCCCTCGGAGTCCAGATTCCCTTCCACTGCTGCTTTGTGAGAGAATTCTGACTTCTCTGCCTTGGAACAGGGAGGGTTTGACATGTTCACCCCTAGAATCCACCAGCTCTGAAAACATTCTTTCTTGAGTTCAAATAGAAACATACTCTGATGTGGCTAGCACAGAGAAATTTAAACCATGGGAAGCAATTAGGCTGCCCAAGGCTGGGTTCTTGAGGCAGAAGCCCCAAGGGTCCCCCCAGGGTGGCATGTTTATAAGGAGACGTGTGTCAGAGCCCAAGGCTGGCCTGGTCTGGCAGGGAGGAGTGCATCGAGCCCACTTATATAATCCTTCCAACAACCTCCAAGATAAATACTGTTATTGTCCCCATTTTACAGATGAACAAACCCAGGCACCGAGAGGTGAAGTTCTTGCCCAAAGTCACACAGCTAGGAAGAGGCAGAACCCGGATTCAACTCCAGTACTCTGGCTCCAGAGTCCATGTTCTCAGTAACTGTGCTATGTAGCCTCTGATCAGCCACTGGCCCCCACCTTCTCCCCCAGGGACAACTGACCAACAAGAAGCTTCAGAGAACTTGAGAAAGCCTCACTAGCCAAGTCCTGTACAGACTAGCTCTTTGGGGCTCAGTTTCTCCACCCAACAGAGGAAGCAATTGGAATAAGCAGGGGTTTGCAAACTGTGTTCCATGGGGGTTCCTCAGAGGTCCCTCAAGAGGTGGCCATAGCTGGTGAAAGAACGAGCAGGCAGGCCTCCAGCCCCACCTTCTACCAGAAGCTCTGCTCTTATCTGTTACACACTGGACCTACATGCAAGAGTCCATTGGAAGGATCCCATGATAGAAAAAAAGTGAGCAGAGAGGAAGAGAATGAGAGAAGGTTTGAGAACCATACATAGATCAGTAGTTGTCAAGCCTTGAGTTTTAAGGATACAGATTCGCAGGCTCCACCCACACCTACTGAATTAGAAGGTCCAGGGTGAGGCCCTGGGATCTGTGACCAGCTCCCCACTGTGGACTCAGTTGCAGGAGGTCACGTGGGGCAATGGCCGAGGGCAGCATCCTACCCATGGGTTTTAGCACAGACTTGCCATGAGGAAGCTTCTCCAGGGGCCTTCACAAGGTAGGTGGAGGCCACCTTCCTGGGGCAGCTCCATGGTGCCCCAGTGAGGGAGGAACCACACCCAGGGAAGACCCCAGGCTGCCCCCAAAGCAGAGAGCCAAGGGGACTGGCAGGTGTGAGTACCTGGCCTCCCGAGAAGCCTCAGAAGCCCCCAGCTGTGACCCCTATTAGAGTCACAGAGAGGGTCCCAGGTCTTCCTAGAGGCACACAGCCAGGAAGTGCTGGGGGCAGAAGTCAAACCTGGCTGAATTCC